TTGCTTCTAGTTTCTACTAGAGAAGTGCTTCTAACTACAGGGAAAGCATTATTACTTTTAATTTTGTTTTTGAGATGGAATCTTGTTCTATTGCCCAGGCTGGAGTACAGTGGCACGATGTTGGCTCATTGCAACCTCCACCTCCCGAGTTCAAGTGATTCTCCTGCCTCAGCCTCTCAAGTAGCTGGGATTACAGGTGCCTGCCACTGCACTCAGCTAGTGTTTGTATTTTTAGTAGAGACAGGGTTTCATCATCTTGGCCAGGCTGGTCGCGAACTCCTGACCTCGTGATCCACCCATCCAGCCTCCCAAAGAGCTGGGATTACAGGTGTGAGCCACGGCGCCTGGCCATGTATGTGTATTTATGTGTGTGTGTGTGTGTGTGTGTGTATTTATGTGTGTGTGTGTGATTGACGTGTGTATTTAAATATATGGATTTATTATTTAGAGTTTCTTCTTTCCTGAGAGTCTATAGCCCTAGTATCAATCCTGATAACTTATTTGAGCTGTAGTCCTCTGCCTTCATTCACCATCAGTAATAGTAAAATGATCAAGTGTTTTAGTCTCCACCGGCAGGTTTGAATTTTCAGTTCACAGCTGTTGTCACTTTTAAATAAGACACGGGGTTATTCGTATGCTTCACAAATGCCCTCACAAATAACTGTAAGAATTGGGGCTGCTGAAGGTCTGCTAACTGTGCTTGTCCTGACCATGGTTGGCCAAGCCGAGCCAGGTGGTGTTGGTTGGGGAAGGCTGCAGAGAGCAGCTGAAGGGTGGAGCAGGGCAGGATATAGTTTGGCGGAGAAGCAGATGTGTCCCAGGCAGGGTCAGTGTTGTCCCAGGCAGGATGAATGTTGCACATAATGCCAGAGATAGGAGGTGGAGGTCTGAGAGAGAAGGAGGAGATACCTCCCTCGGGCACTATGAAGGCCAGCATAGAGATACTGCCCCCAATCCCGCTGGCCTAGAGGCAGGGTTCCAGTTTTGCCATTCCAGCCACTTCTCTTTAGTCAGAAAGCTGGAATCCTAGCTCAGTGTACTCTGCCAGCTGCCTGCTTCTTAAACCATACCTGAAACCATGGGCTTGGGAGCTCTCAAATTCTTTAAGAAGTCTATTGGTGCAAACATTTTTGAAATGGTATTTTTTTAAGATAATGATTGCTTCTGTTTTTCTTCATGCCCTTGCCCTCTTTTCCACACCCTTATCCCTGCCACCTTCTCCCCTCCCTCCAAGTCTGAGACTCATTCATGGTCCCCGCCTCCGATCTTAGTTATTTGACATCGCTTTGCCTCTCTCTGGAGACTCTGAATCCAATGAGAACAAAGTTTTCTTAGGGCAGTGTTTTCTGGGAGGACACATAGGCACCCAGTGAAATAAGAAAACACTGGAACTAATGCTTAGAACTGCAGGCAAACATTCCACCTCAGAACAAAGAAGGAAATATTTAGGTAGTCACAAGATTGGGTGAGATGACCTGTAAGGATCCTAAAACTGTGGGAATGTAAGACTCTCTACCCATAGAAACTGTTCAGCTATGGAATGGGCCATCTTTGAGGTCAAACTTTATTCTTGGAAGTGATCCAGTAGGGTCTGTAAGGCCGCAGTTAATACAGGAGGAGATTTCTGTGCAGTATGGTGGGGTACTGGGTCAGGGGACCCCTGGGCATTCATTCAGAGTACTAATCAGAAGCTCTGGGATGACCGTCGCCCCAGAGTTACATGGGTTTATGCTACTCGGTGCTGGACCTTATCCATAAGAGCAAAAGATGAGACAGTTACCATCCTCTGGGGGCCAGTTGGTCACGTTCTACAAACCTCTGTTGAGGGATCGGGCATGGAAAGGCCAGCTCCTGGCTTTGTTAAAGTCCACATTTTTAGGCAGAAGACTGGCATCCTGCTGAGACCCCCAAGGCAGATGGGGGTGGTTGTGTGCCTCTAGTTTCAGCTAAGGAGAGAGGAGTTTCTCTTCTTCTCCAGGGACGCCAGCCCGGCTCACTGCCTCTGCGCAGAGCTGGGGTACCTGAGGGCTCAGTTGTTTCTTTTCTCTCCTGAAGCCTCTGTGTCCCAAGGAGCTCTGGCACTTTGTTCACCAGTGCTATGGGAACGAGTTGGGCCTGACCAGTGATGATGAGGACTACGTGCCCCCTGATGATGACTTCAACACAATGGGGTGAGTGAGGCCCAGGGTGGCTGCCTGGAGGCAGTCAAGCAGGTGCCTGCAGGAAGAACCTCCCAGGCAAAGGGAACAGCATGCATGGCTGTGCAGCCGTGGAATGAACTATGGAATGAACGAGGGAAAGTGGTCAGAGGTGAGGTCACGGAGCTCGAGGGGGCATAGCCAAGGGCCTGGCCAACTTTATGGTTGGCTTTTACTGAGCATGGGAAGGGAAAGTTTTGCATAGATAATTGCTAAGGTCTGATTTAACACTTCAGTAGGATCACACTGGCCCCTGCACTGAAAATACATTGAAAGGGGAACCAGGGCAGAGGCAGGGAGACCCCATTAAGAGGCTGTTGAGTAATTTAGATAATTAGATGAGGTATGGTGGTGGTTTGGAAGAGAAATGGCAATAAGTGTTTAGTTCCTGAACAGCTATTGAAGGACATGTTGATGGAACAGAAAGGAACCAAAGGTGACTTTCAGATATTTCTGGTTTTACTGTCTAGAAAGATGGCAGTGTTCTAAACAGAGAGGGACAGTACTGTAGGCAGAGCAGGTTTCAGGCGGAAGATCAGGAGGGTGGTTTTGGGCAATTGAGATTGAGATGCCTGTTAGCCAAATGGAGATGTCAAGTGGGCATTTCGGTTTGGAGTGTGGAGTTCACAGGGAATCCAGGTCTGGGGCCAGAAATGCAGGAATTACTAGTGGATAGCTATGAGATTCACTGAAATTTCAAGTGACTGGGTGAACATAAAAAGTTCAAGGACTGCTTGGGAGCACTCAGTGGGGGGAAGAAGGAGCTGAAGAGATCTTGAAAGCAAGTACAGTGAGGCAGGAGGGCCCTAGGAAGATTTTGTATCCTGCAGCCAGAGGAAGGAAGCTAAGCAGAAGGGATTGTCACTGTATCACACGCTGTGGATAGGTTAAGGAAGAATGGGAAGATGTGCCAGTTGACCAGCACAAAGCATGCTTGACGGTGGAAGGGAGGCTGCAGGCTTGGTGTTGGTACAAGAGGCATACGGGGAAAAAAGCAAGAAAAGAGCATTGAATGTGTATAGTGCTTAGGTCTGGGCTCAGTCCAAATAGTGTCGCTTAACCTCTGTGAACACCTGTTAGGTTATCTCTAAAACGCACATGATGATTTCCAGAGAGTTGCCAAGCATCTGGATTTGTTAGGTACAGGTCAGATGATGATGATGGTGGTAGGGTGATGATTGCTCCCTTGGAGGAGGCTACAGTGGCGTCCCTGAAGTATTCCTGGAAGGGCACCCATCTTCATCTCAAGGAATTTTTCTTTTTAGGTGTATATAATGCAGTGAAGTTTTCCAGTTATCATCCAGAATTTGGGCAATGCCACTGAAGGAGCGCTTGTGTCCAGAGTCCTGTCTTAGTCACTGTTTGGGAAATGAAATGCGTGCTCAGAACCCAGATATTTGATTCAGAGGCTCAAAATGGGGTGGGAACCCATGGAAAAAAATAGCTTAAGACAAATAATACTTCTATTTAGGTGGGGATCTATCTAAGGAGGCTGCCTAGAAAAGGTGTGTTTGCAGTCAGATATTTTACATGGGAGGCAGGGAGGTGTAGGACGGGATGTGAAGGAGAGAGCGATGGGGTAAGAGGGGCATTTTCGTTTAGAGGAAGATTATATACAAAGCAAAGAAACAGGAAATCCCATAGATTTGGACAGATAGAAGGGTCTGAGAGTCTTAAATAGTCTGCCATCTTGACCCACTAAGATTAATGTGGACTCACTGGTGTTTGCTCTCAGATACTGTGAAGAGATCCCTGTGGAAGAGAATGAAGTGAATGACAGCTCATCCAAGAGCAGCATAGAGACCAAGCCAGATGCCAGTCCACAGCTGCCCAAGAAATCCATCACCAACAGCACGCTGACATCCACAGGGAGCAGTGAGGCCCCTGTCTCGGTATGGGCAGTCAGCCCTTGGCTTCTACCCCCAGTCCTGTGGCCAGCCAGCGTTTCCTAGCTTAGTTCACTGGGAACCCCACCTGGAGAGCAGATAGAGAGGAGATTGGTTACACTGCGGTCAGTTTCTTCAAGGAGGCATTCTGGAGCAGATGGGCCGTCCATATTCTAGTGATGTAGCCCAGGCCCAGAGCTGGGGCGAGATGCCTGGGGTACAAGATTGGGTTTGACTTCTGAGCGGATGAAAACCATTTCAAGTCCACTGTGTGGGCTTTGCTTTTGCTAGGCTGCTGCTGATCAGCCCCTCTGGTAGAGAACAATTCCAAGTCCTTTTTCACTGCCTTAATCTGAAGTCAAAGTCATGCATGAATATAGAACTATAGAAAAATTAATTGTTTATCCACTCATTTGGTTGATGTTTACTGAATATACATGTTGTGTCTTATTTTCCCACTGTGGTAGACTTAGTGGAAGCTGTAAAAATGTGTAAGAGAACCTCTGTCCTCTGGGACTCTGTTATAGAGGAGATAGAACCTTGATGAGAAAAGTGTGTCAGGGCATGTGCTGGCAAACAGAGGAACAGGTGGGGTTCTTCAGGAAAGGACTCCCTCAAAAGGGAACCTTGGATTTCAGTAGCTTTTGGGTCAGACCACCTGCCCTTAGAACGAAAACATTATTCATTGGATGCCTGGTCTTTACTTTCTGCCTCTCAGGTCATCTTTAAAATGGAAAGAGTTGTATTGATTCTCTTCCATGGCTAACAAAAGAATAAGTTTAAAAAAAAATGCTTATGAAGCCTTTGGAGCTTCTTAGGATAAACAGGTACTACCTGGAGGCAGGCTGACCTTATGCAGGCAGGGTGGTTCAGGTGTGGCTCCAGGAAAGGACCTGGCCCTGTGGGGGACCAGCCCTGTGCACCTGGGGAGCTTGTGCTGCTGGAATGGCGAGTGTGAGAAGTGCGGCAGTCCTTCTACTGTGTTTGCCCACCCCTCTGGCAGCTCTGGGGAAGGGCTTCAGAGCCTGACTCTGGCTTCACTCTCCAGCAACTCAGCAGGGAGTATGAGAGCTGCCAAGCCCGATCCCTAATCTCCCTTTGGAGAGTATATCCAGACCAGGTTTCCCCGGTGGGTGACTCCTCTGTCTTGGCTCCAGTTTGATGGGCTGCCCCTGGAGGAGGAGGCACTGGAGGGAGACGGGTCCCTGGAGAAGGAGCTTGCCATCGACAACATCATGGGGGAGAAGATTGAAATGATCGCCCCCGTGAACTCGCCTTCACTGGACTTCAATGACAATGAGGACATCCCCACTGAGCTCAGTGACTCTTCTGACACACACGATGAAGGTGGGCATTTGAACACAGGCCTGGAGTGGCCCTTTCTCTATTTTGAAGGCTAAAAGGGGATCTCTATGTGGGGACTGGGGTTACTCTCTAGCTTCCTGGTGGAAAGATGGGAGCAGAGCTTCCACAACAAAAGGCACCTGTGTTATTAGTATACGTCCCTGTTTTCAGTTATTTGCTGTAGGAGCCTTTCATACATAATGCTTTGTTCTATCATTTAGTCTTGTCACTAAATGTACCTCTTGTTGACATTGGCTTGCCTTGTGGCCCTGACCCTCACAATCATGCAAGGCTAGGCAATGTTTATAAGCCACAAGGAAGGCGCCAGTCAGCTGCTTCCTGGAAATAATTGGATTTTAACAGAAACGTCCTCAAGATAGCTACAAAACTTGTTAATACCCCCACCGTAGGGTGTTTAGGCCCAGCTAGAAGAAAAGGTGTTGCTGAGTCAAACAGGGTTTGGAGACTCCCTTGTTCCTCTAATTTTTGTAAGCAGGGACTTTCTAACTTCATGCCTGCATAGGATTAGCTTCTAGGTTCTCACCTGGGAACATGATGCCTCTTATCTCCCATGGAGAGAAGCCAAATTCTTAGCATTCATGAAATTGATTGGTGGATTTTCTCCATTGAATAAGTGGTCTGTTATGACTAGTGAGCATATGAACGCAGTGCTCACTTGTGGATCTGTGGACACCTCTCCTAGAGGCCACCTGCAGTGGTTTTCTAACCTTTGGTTGGTTTACCCACCCCCACGTAGAGTCCAGGGCCAGCACAAATGACTGCATGGGTTGGGTACTGCCTAATTCCAGGGTGCCGTTCACCTAAACTAAGGTGAATCCTCCCAGCGCTGTGCTTGTACAGTACCCATCTGTGCAGTCATAGGACTTGACCCTACAGGGTACTTCAGAGTTCATTGGTTCCCTCAGTGTCTTGGGGGTGCCAGAAATGTCAGCCTCCTCCTGAGATCACATACCCACCCATGCAGGTGCAATAATTAGGGACTGAGGGGTGCCAAGGGCTTAGGGGGAGCACTGAGGCCTTAGCAGCTCACCTGTATCCTCAGGTGCATTCTCCTACAGCAGCTGGAAAATTCAGATTACAGGTGAAATTCTCTGGCTGGCAATATTCTGTATATGGATGCATTGATGTGCCCGGGGGGGGCTCTGCGTCCCTGAGACGAACGGAAGCTCCACTTCTGGAGTTCTCCCACACCTTGCTCTGTGTGCTGCTCATTCTGGTTTGAACCTTATTTTGTGATATGATGAAGCCGTAATCCTAAGTTTAAAAGGGGGAGTAGATGTGGGCATCATGGTAGAAACAGGGTGCTTTACGGAAGTGTAGTTAGGGATCACAGTCTATTGGGCCAGCCCCAGCCTTAGGAGCAATTCTGTACACTGAGTCTTCCAGATTAATCTATGTCCTCTCGAACACGCCTATGCCATAGGTTACGACTGCAATTTGTTGTCAGAGGACACTCTCAAAACCCCATCCTTTGGGTTTAGGCAACTTTGGGAAGTCGTCATTTATTTAAATTTTAGTCTAAGATCAACGGACTTAGGGAGGTTTGAAAGTGTAAAAGCAAATCGTACATTCCCAAACAAAGAATGAATGGGCAGAGTGTCAGCTAAAGGAAATGGTGTGCATCCCAGCAAATGAAAGAGACTGAAAGCAAAGTCGTAAACTATGGAGCCCGTGAGCTCAGCTGTCCTGCTCCACGGCCTCTCCATACCCTTGGTGGCTGTGCCTGTGTTAGCCGGAGAAATAAGTGCTCTTGGAGGATGTCCCTGGGGCCCCCTGCCCCTCCGCGGTCACTGTCTACTTCCTGGTCCTCTCTTGTGCAGGGGAGGTCCAGGCCTTCTATGAGGACCTGAGTGGCCGGCAGTACGTGAATGAAGTCTTCAACTTCAGCGTGGACAAGCTCTACGACCTCCTGTTCACCAACTCGCCCTTCCAGCGGGACTTCATGGAACAGCGGCGCTTCTCTGGTCTGTTTTGCTGGGGCTGAACCCCCTAACCCTCCCTCTCTGTCCTCGCTTCTTCCCTCTCTACATTTGCTTCCTTCCCTTCCTTATTCCTCTTCCCACACACCCACCTTCCCTCGGTCACCTGATGGCCCAGACACCCTCTCTCCAGCCTTCTGCAGTGCTGGAGCTCCCTCAGGCCCTGTTGCCCTCTCTTGTCACCAGCACTGCAGCTTCACCTTTGCCCACTGCACACCACGCACTTGATGCTGGCCCCTAAGGCCTGCCCTGTCACTGCCCTCACAGGGCTCACTGTCTAGTAAATCACAGCAGCTCTCACTCGCTGGCGGCACCCACTCTATGCCACTCACATGATGTTATCTCATTCAGACCTCACAGCTACCCTGTGTGTAGGCACCCATGAGGCTGCTGGAACTCACACTGTTAGTGCTTACCTCACCTCATGCAGCTAAGGAAGAGCTAGGACGGGCCTCACATCTAGGATCTGGGGGTTCATGTGCTTCTGCCTCCTCCCCTTCCTCCAAACTCTTTCCACAGCAGGGAGCGCTAAGCATCCAGCTGTGACAAAGCATTTGGGCATCAGCCATCCTGTGTGCCAAGAGGAGAGGGCATGCTCAGGGCACGGGGAGGTCATGGCTTAGAGGAGAGGACTTGTTCCCAAGGGACCCTCGCCACAGTAACACCAGTGTTGCCAGCACCCCCGTAGGTGGCCCCAAGACCTCCTGTCCCAGCCCAAGGAACAATCAGCATTCTGGAGCCTTGTGTAGAATTTTGACAATGCTACAATGCGCCTCTTTCTGCTTCAACTACTCCTCCTCTTCCCACCCTCCCCCCTGGCCCTCAGGCTCCCATTGGCTTCCTTTCGGCGGCCAGGCAGTAGTAAGCACAGTCAAGAAGGTCACTTGGAGGGGAAACTTGGATTGGGGAGGGGGCTCTGCCTTCCCCTCCCTCATTCTAGGGCTGTCCTCTGCCCTTAGATATCATCTTCCATCCATGGAAAAAGGAGGAGAATGGAAACCAGAGCCGAGTGATTCTTTACACCATCACCCTTACCAACCCTCTGGCTCCCAAAACTGCCACTGTCAGGGAGACACAGGTGAGCAGAGCTGGCAGATGCACAGAAGAGCGGTCTGGAAAATCTGTGTTCTGTCTTGAAGGATTAAGGGCAGATGTCAGGAAGAAGTTTCAGGGCACAAGTGTCATTTTGCCCCCAAGTGGTGGTGGCATCTTGCTCGTTTAGATGTTGCTGATTCCAGTGATTCTGGTTCTTCTCCTCAGAAGTCGTGGGGTGGGATGGGCTTGGGGTGGCTGGAGAAGGTGCTTTTCCAAGTGTCTTGCTCTTCCTCACTTTTGTCCAATGGACCTTTCCTGCCCACAGACCATGTACAAGGCGAGCCAGGAGAGTGAATGTTACGTGATAGATGCCGAAGTCCTCACCCACGACGTGCCCTACCACGACTACTTCTACACAATCAATCGCTACACCCTCACCCGCGTGGCTCGGAACAAGAGCCGACTCAGGTGCAGTGTGCAGAGGGCCCGGTGCGGTCAGACGGGGGTCCCTACCTTAAAGAACGTTCATGTGCTCTTGGCGGGGAAGGAGGAGGTGGGGTGTGCTTGGCTGCTCACTTTCTTTATTCTACCTTCTCTTTGAAGCCTTCTGAGGCTCACCCACCACCCTCTTTTTAAAGAGTTAATTATTCTTCCACTCTGTGCATCTTGTTAGTAAAACTTATATAGCTACTGCTATTTATTGATTGTCTATGGCTTATACAGTACAGTGTAGGTGCTTTATTGCTTATACAGTATAGTATAGGCTATCTACATTCACCAGAGGCTTTAGAATGACTCGAGGAGGTGAATTTATCTTCATTTTTCAGGTAAAACTGAGTTTCATGTAAGTTAAGCAACTTTGCCAAGAGTCATGTCTCTAGCAGACACTGAAGCCCAGAGCTTAGCGTTGTGAACCTGTGCCCCGTCCACTATGCTGCATGCATTGTCATTAGACAGGGAGCTTCACAAGGGCAGGAATTCCATTCCACTCACACTTTATTCCCAGCACCCAACTGGGCCTGCACATATCAGAGTCCAGAGAACAGCGATGGAATGAATAATTAGTTCTCGGCATTGTGGTGTGCTTCCAAAGGAAGGAAGAAATTTAGACCCTGACATTTTAAGAAACTTGTAGTCTAATTGAAAAGGCAAGGCACACACCCATTTGAAAATCATCAGACTGTTTACCTGTACCTTAGACCAAGTTCTGTTGGTTGTAAGGAGCCAAAAATTAACTGTCGTTGTTCAAAAAAAATTTGGTAAAAGGTTGCACAGAGATCTCTTGGGCATCAAGATGTGCACATCAAGAAGGATCTTTGTGCTTCATGCCTGTATTCCCACACTTTGGGAGGCTTAGGCAGGAGGATTGCTTGAGCCCAGGAGTTCAAGAACAGGCTGGGTAATGTAGCGAGACCCTGTGTCTGCAGAAAATAGAAGTCAGCCAGGAGTAGTGGCATGTACTGTAGTCCAGCTACTCGGGAGTCTGTGGTGGGAGGATCGCTTAAGCCCAGGAGTTTGAGGCTGCAATGAGCTATGATTGCACAACTGGACTCCAGCCTGGGAGACTGAGTAAGACCCTGTCTCTTAAAAAAGAGATTTTACAAAGGAGATTTTGAAAAATGCATCTTTTTCATTCTCTTGGTAATTTCTTTTGGGGGGTGGGTGTTCTGTGCTTCCTCCTGAATGTGTACTTCTCTTCCTCCTTCATCTTCCTTCTCTTCCTCCTTCTTTTATTTCCCTTCCTTCTCTCTCCCTCTTGTTCTTATCCTTTCCTCCACAGTGCCTAGGTTTCTTAATTCTAGGTTCCTCAGATCTTCCAATCACATCTTTGATCTGTAGCCATGCAGAGGTAGCTGGTTGACCTTGAACAGACCAGTACAGGAAGGTGCCCATCCGCAGTCCAGTCAGCGGTTGTTGAGTTGGGGAGCGAGGTGTCTCCAAGTACAGACTTTCTCTCATCGGGACGTGTGTGGAGGTGGCATCCCTAAGGAGGGGGATGAGGCCGGACTGGCAGCCTTCGTCACGGGTGGGATGGATTAGCTGGTAGAATCTATTGACAGACGCAGATGAACCTAAGGGGGAGGCAAAGAGCAGGGCTATTGCATAGGAGAGGAAAGAGCTGATATTGCAGGAGGTATGGGCAGAAGTGCGACCAGTGACTGGGAGAGAGAATGCCTGGAAAAGAGCAAGAGCCGGTGAGGTCTGGGGTGCAGTGGAGAGGCAGGAGCCAGGGCCGGCAGCAGATGATACTCTTTTTTTTTTTTTTTTTCCTGAGACAGGCTCATTCTCCTGCCTAGGCTGGAGTGCAGTGGTACAATCATGACTCACTGCATCTTCAACCTTAATCTCACATTAGCTGGGACTACAGGCATGCCCTGGCTAATTTTTTTTTTTTTTTTGTAAAGATGGGGTCTCACTATGTTGCCCTGGGTGACTGATACTTTTAAAGGTTACAGTAATAAAACCCCAGAGCTTGACTTAGACTTAAAAGGCTCTGGAGAAGGAGAGAAGGACCCTGACGAAAGGATGGGGCATCTTACTTTCTGTCAGTGTCAGTTTCTCAAAAGACTTAAACTTCAGGCAGAGTCTTCCTCTGCCTGGCAGGCAGGCTGCTGGACCTTTGTGAGACCCCTGAGGGGAAGCAGTGTGCCATCATAAGAGCTCTGGAGTCAGAACCCTAACTGTTAGCCTTTGTGCTCCTTAAATATCCTACACCCCAATTTTCTCATCTGTGAAATGGTGATAGATCCACCAGTTCCACTGATCTCAGAGAGTGGTCATGGAGATCAGAAAATGTGATGGATATGGAAGGACCTTTTAACTTGTAAAATTTAGTACAAATGTGAAGTAACTTTGGCCTTAACCCCGAATTTCCTTTTTCCCAGCAGAGGCAGGTCCATCCAGGAAATGACTTACCTTGTTTCTGGCTTGCTCCTCAGGGTCTCCACAGAGCTGCGCTATCGAAAACAGCCCTGGGGGTTAGTGAAAACCTTCATCGAGAAGAACTTCTGGAGTGGGCTGGAGGACTACTTCCGCCATTTAGGTGAGCACTACAATCCTTGCTGCTAGCTGGGCTGCAGAGACGGTGAGCTGCACAGCGGCCGCCCACCATTCCGGAGAGTGGTATTGAGACTAGGGCAGAGACTGAAAAGGGAAGTAGTTTCATGAGGTTCCCACACCTGCTCCAGGAGTAGACACCAAATTTTGTATGTAGGTGGACATGTGCATTTTTAAAGACTGTGTCTAGGATGTTTAGGAGATCATTTAGGGATCTATAACACCCCTCATGCCAAAAGGAACCATAGATCTAGTGATATAGGTGGTTCTGTGATGAGAAGTATCTGTAAAATGCCTGCAAATGCATCTATTTAAGAGGTGTATGCCCCAAATTGTATACATGAGAGTGTAGCTATTGGGAACATACGGTTCCTTGCAATGTTGAATAACCCCAAAGGAGGGGTTTGACTGGGGCTGGGTGCCAGAAGAACCTCCTGAGACTTGTGGGCATCCCTGAGGGTCATCAACCCGCCCAACCAACTTCCCAGAATACAGAATAGAAAAATGGTTCCTGCAGAGAGTCGCATCTGGAGGGCTGAAGGTGGCCTCTCCTGTGCCCCTTTTGTCTCTGACAGAGAGTGAGCTGGCCAAAACGGAGAGCACTTATTTGGCTGAGATGCACAGACAGTCCCCCAAAGAGAAGGCCAGCAAGACTACGACGGTGCGGAGGAGGAAGCGTCCCCATGCCCACTTGCGAGTCCCTCACCTAGAAGAGGTGATGAGCCCAGTCACCACACCCACGGATGAGGATGTGGGCCACAGGATCAAACATGTGGCAGGTGTGTGCCAGGTGGGGACAGGTGGGGTGTGTGGGCTTTGGGCTGGAGCTGCATGCCCATACCAGGGCACACACATGCACACTCATTTTGCACGTTGGGTATAATTTGTATATAATTTGAATGTAAGTCACTATAGCTGAGGCTCCCAATGCTCTGTTTCTCTTTGCTCTTTAAGTTCCTCAGCCCCAGGTGAACCCATATGTTTCCTCTCATTAACAAAAACTGCCTTTGTGTTTATGCCTTTGTGTTGTCCTAGTTTCATGGCTTACCTGCATAGGCTCAAGTATGAAGCTTCCAAGTTATTGGGAAATACACTGAGGAGACTCCAGAGCTCAGACCACAGAGATTACCTCATTACACAAAGATCAAGGAGTCCAAGGCAGCCCCCCTTCACTTCACCTCCATGGGCCAACCCAGGCTTGCCTCTCAGGCCATGGACTCCCTTAATATTTCTTCCTCTTCCCACCCAGCCATTCACATCCTTGTCTTTGCTGAATCATGGAAACCTGGGGCTCTAAGGGGCCTTAGAGACTGACTAATTGAGCTGGGTAGGGACAGGGGAGGCAGAAGAAGAGGGGGAGAATGGGGGGAGAGTGCCAGCCTTCTGCATCCCCCCAGCTTCACCTCTAGCACTTCCGAGTTATGTGTTTTGCATTTAAGATTTCTGACTGACATTGCATTTGAGTAAACTGACTCTCAGAGAGCTTACATGACTTGTCCACTGTCATGTAGCTTACTAGGAACAGAGGCAGAGCCAGAAGCCAGCTATCTTTAGTCCTGCCCCAGTGCTACGTCCCCTCCCATGGCTGATCACTTTGTCTTGGGAATGTATACCCTAGTTACATGGGCCTATAGATTCTCTCATTTGTTCAGTGATCACCTGACCCAACCCATGACCTTGTCCTTGAGGATTTTACCTTCTCCTCTTAGAGAGCTGGCAGCATCTATCATAGCGTTGCTGTCACAGTGTCCTGGACGTTTTTCCATCAATCTCTGAAGTTTGCTGTTTGACCAGTGTCCCCCAGCAGTTGTTGGACTTGCAGGTCACCATGGTGACGGTCTCTTTATTCTCCCTGCAGGTTCCACGCAGACGCGGCATATCCCTGAGGACACTCCCAACGGTTTCCACCTGCAGAGCGTGTCCAAGCTGCTTCTGGTTATCAGCTGTGTGTAAGGGACTCTAGGTTCTCCTACCCTGCCCTCACCACCTTCCCTTTCTAGCCTGGTGCCTTAGCCCTCCTCTCTTGAAGGATCTGAGCACCCTTACTGTTTTCCCTGTTTTCTCCTTTGTCCTCTAGTCTTCTCTGTCTGGACTGGTTGCTCTGCCTGTGGCTTACCTCTTTGCTTCTTTTTCACTGCTTTGTTCAGCATTTACTGTATGGTAGGCTTTCAGAAGGAAATGCTTCATGCAGCATCCGTACCCTTCAGGGATTCAGTTTCAAGTGGGTGAGAGAGATAGAACATTCAAAATTCCTGCATAGATGGTTAAATGCTAACAGAGAGATGCTGCAGGGCATTTTAGGAGTCCATTCGTTCATTAGATGTTCTGGGCATCTGCTCTGTGCCAGGCACTGGAACTGTGCACTCACGGAGCCCACACATTGGCGGGCTAGCCAGACAAAATCAATGCCTACAATACAGAAAAAGTGGATGCTTATTTTAATGTAGACTATTTATAATAATTGCTATGACATGATAAAACAGCAGGCTCAGTAACTTGCATAGAAAGATGCTGTCCTAGGGAAAAACAAAGACAAAAGAAATGAAGACGTAAGATGGAAGCACACAGTTAGCTATCTGAGGAACGGGGCCATGCCATCGCCTGCCTAGGACTTCATCCATTTTGAGCAGGAAGCAGCTAGGACATCTAAGGACAGCTCTTCCACTTGTCTCAGCCCACAGCATGGTCCCATGCCTTCCTTGGATGGGGGTATGCTTCCAGAGTGTGGGGCATCGGTGAGTGGGAGCACTGCAGCTGGCCAGATGCGTGCACAGTGCACACTGCTGTTCACTGTGCATCAGCTTGCCTCCAGTTCAGTCTTGCTTCTGTGACGCCGGCCTCACTGAAGCATTCTCAGAGAGGCATGGGCAGAGCACAGCCTCACCCTCAGGAAACTCTGAAGGAAGCCCAGTAGTGACATGGTCAGATTTGTACTAAAGAGAAAGTCACTCTGACAACAAAATGTCAGATGGATTCGAGAAGCAAAGACTGGAGGCAGGGAGGTCAGTCAGGGTGAGCTGTGAGATCTAGGTGAGAGCAGCTGTCAGGCCGAAGGCCTGGAGCTGGGAGATCCTGGAAGGCAAAGACTCATCACCTATCTGGTTATGTAGGGAAGGAAGATGAACTACTGATTCAAGGGACCGCAAATGGTCATGTCATTACAGAAATCTGGAATTGAGCAAAGCATTTCCAGAGAAGACATTAACAGTTCCAGGTATGTCTGAGGGGCCATAGGTTATCCAGGAAGAGATGACAGATATGTGCCGATGTGGTTCTGGAGCTCAGGTGACAAGTGTAGGCTACAGTCACTGCTTAATTATCCATAGCACTAAAGCCATGGTGTGAATGAGACCATCCATAGACAGCATAGAGTGTGACAAAGAAGACAAGGTCCAGGATGACCCTGGGGATCACTTAAAGGATGGGAAGCCATGAGGAACGTAAAGTGGACTCTCTCACCAACTTCAATATGTCACATAAAAGTAGATGCAAAATTCTTCTTATGACAGCATAAGAAATGAAGACATTATTACAAAATTAAAAACAAAAGCAACTGTAAAACTAGTAAAAGTCACACTTTGCAACGTCAATCTAATGTGATTCATGCCATTGTTCTTGTTAAGTTAAATCTCTTTCTTGTATTGGATTTTGGTTGCTAGAGTGCTGTAACCTCAGGTTAGTTCTGTGTTTAAAGCTCTTTCTGCATTTTGACTTTAAGTAGAGAGGCCTGCACCCCTAAGCAAATTGTATAGCATGTTTAACTTTTGGGTTTTGTTAAGTTTAGAATGATCAGACTTTCTAATTCAATGTGACAGGATCCAGGCCAAGTGTCTGCTGACAGCCTGCACGTGGGACAGGCTGACACAGCACAGCTTGCCCTGTGTTTGGCGGGCTCCTGTCCCCACAGGACTGCTCCAGTGTGACTCAGCCACCTCCTTTCTCTGTTTAGACAACCGCGCAGCCGTCACTCAGCCAGCATACAGGGGTATCCCCTGACCTTCGCTTAGCACAGACAGGATAGCAAACATAAACCCAAATGCAGGCACCAAGATCATGAACAGGATGTGCTGAAGAGGTGGGCGTTGAGGTGAATGCAGTAGCACGATCTCAGCTCACTCCAACCTCCACCTCCCAGGCTCAAGCAATCCTCCTGCCTCAGCTTCCCTAGTAGCTGGGTCCACAAGTGCATGTCACCATACCCGACTAATTTTTAAAAACTTTTTTTGTAGAGATGGGGTTTTGCTATGTTGCCCAAGCTGGTTTTGAACTCCCCAGCTTAAGCAATCCACCCACCTCAGCCTCCCAAAGTGCTGGGATTACAGGTGTGAGCTATCATGCCCAGCCTATCTTCTCATTTTTTTGGTCATCTTCTCTCTTCTTATGTGTGTCTACATCTTCTCTGTTAATGATAAGAACTATCCTTTGTGTAGGGCCTATGGTGTGCCTGCATATGTTACAATATATGCCCTTTCATCTACAGAACAGCCCTAGTAGGGTAGGTATTATTGTCCCTCGGTCAGAGAAGCTAGGAAACTTAATCAAAAGTTAAGAGGCTTTTAAGTGATGAGCCAGGGTTTGCATGCAGTTCTGTGGGTCCCTGGATCCTCTCTACCCACGGTGCTGTCCTCATCTCTCCATCCCATGAGCTTGTTATACAGTGATGGTTAGGCAGCCAGTGCGGCTGAGAGGAGGGAATTTCTGCAGTCTCTCTGTGACTTCTCATTCCTCACAGCCCCTCCAGCCCCTGGATGATCCTTGCCTCCCCCATCTCTCACCAATTCTGACCCAGACCCTGGGAAACCTCAGCCTGTCTCCATGACCCCTGCCAGGTGGTATGAGGTTGAGGCAGGGAACTTTGCAGCTTGAGGGAAGTTCTGCTAACATCTGTGAGCGACATCATGGGCAGAGATAGGGACCCACTGGAATTCCTCCTTCAGTCTCACCCTTCAGTTACGTCCTAAGGTGGGGTTGGTGGGGGGAATCTTTTCTCAGTTTAGCACCCACGAAATGCTAAGAGTCTGTCCCTTGTTGCTTTCTCGTGCCCTGTCCTTGCTGGGTCTCCTCGTCCACTGTGTCTTTGCTTCTAGTATTTTTTTCTCATATACTCACTCGCTCCCGGCTTGATTTTCAGTGCAGTTTTCCCCTTCCCCACACTCGCCTTTTCTAACCTCTGCCTCCTCCCCATTTTTCTTCCTTGCTCCCATTAGGATCTGTTTCAGGTACTGGCTCTATGATTACTGTTTTACCCCCTCATCTCTTTTCCTTTCCACCTTACCTCTCTTCCCCCAGGTGCCCAGGCTCTGGGTGCCTGTGCATCTCTCCTTTCTAGTGCCTTCATCCCACGCCCCTCTCCATGGCTCTCCCACTGTATCCTGGCCCTTCCAGATTAGGCTGCTCCTCTCTCTCCCCTTTGCCGTGTGTGTCTGGCTCACTCACTCACTGCAATGCTTTGGATGGCCCACCGTCAGGGACAGCAGCCTCTGGGATGGGGGATGTTCCGTTTCTTCACAACATCTCACTGCTGTTGCTTTTTTTGCCCATGTCTCCTTCCTAGTCTGGTGCTGCTGGTCATCCTTAACATGATGCTCTTCTACAAACTCTGGATGTTGGAATACACCACGCAGACCCTCACTGCCTGGCAGGGTCTCAGGCTCCAAGAAAGGTAATCCTGGCCTGGTCCCATCACCTCCACCTCCATCCCACCCAGTGCCGTGACACCTGTCTCCCAGTCTCCTTGGGACTGCCTCACTGCCCTTGCCCAAGGGATAGCCCTCTGGGAAGAGCCCATGGGGAAATTCAGAATCTGTCCCTATAGCTTCAGCCCACTTCTGATCTGGGACACAGGGGAACCAGGGCCAGTGAGCAGAGGACAAAGCACTCTGATGTGACTCTCTGTCCTTTAGGGGTCTGGGAGCACAGGACAGTTCGCTGAGCATAACTCCAGCTGCTGGGGTACCCCTTCTTCTACCCCACAGGTTACCCCAGTCTCAGACAGAATGGGCCCAGCTCTTAGAGTCCCAACAAAAGTACCACGATACTGAGCTCCAAAAATGGAGGGAGATCATCAAATCCTCAGTGATGCTCCTTGACCAGGTGAGATGCCCCACCTTCTCTGCTTGCCTTGGCCTTTGGGAGTGGGGACTCCTTCCTTTATGCTCTGAGAAAGATCCTTGTCTCTATCACCACCCTCCAGACTTCTCCCTCTAATTCATTCTTCTTCCAGGCCATGCATTGTTGTAAAAGGGAAACCACCCTTGAAGGGGCTGCTAGAAATGCAGCTGTATTCTAAAAAAATAATAACAATAAAGACCCATTGAATTTGCAACAGGAAAGCTGTGGGTTAGATGGAAGGAGAACTAATTTTATATTTTTGGTAACACAGAACCATCTGACAGGCATTTAAACAGAGAACCACCACCCCCCGCCACACCAATCCTTTTACAGAGATTTGTCTTCCCAGAGGACATGTCTTTGAGTTTTTCAAGTGTATACCACCTCCTCCTCTGACAGTCAGTGGCACTGCACTGATAGTCTGGGAAGATGACTGCACTTCGTCTTCTTTCCATAAGATCATCTTTGTTGTACAGTTTGCCTGTATTCCCCGCCCCCACCCCCACCATCCCCCAAAGCTAGATCCAGCTATTTTGGGAAATCATCCTGAGGCAAAATCAATAATTAGCCTAGTTTCCTTGGGGGAGGGAGCTTCCTACTTCCCCAGAATATTTTAGTATCTTATAAAACATAGATCCACGCAGTTTCCTAGAGAGCAGGAACCTGACTTTGCTGTGCAAGAGAATTATTAGGAAAATATTAGACTCAGGATTTACCCTGCTATGCAACAACTTCTCTCCCTGAAGAGCTTTCTTTCTGACATTTTGTGACGAGCCAGAGCTGAGATGGCATCCCAGCCTTGCCATTAACTAATTTTCTGACCCTGAGCAAGGGACCTGGAGCTTCTGTTTCTTCATTTATAAAATAGGAATTGTAGACATAGCTTCATGGAACTGTCGTCAAGATTTGATGGCATCTGAGCAGTGCTCATTAATATTAAACTTTATTTCATTGTATTGTTTGATTTTAGCTCTAAGGGAAAAAAAAAGGAGGCTTGGCATGGTGGCTCACACCTGTAATACCAACACTTTGGGAGGCTGAGGTGGGGGGATCACTTGAGGTCAGGAGTTTGAGACCAGCCTGGCCAACATGGAGAAACCCTGTCTCTACTCAAAATACAAAAATTAGCCAGGCATGGTGGTGCACGGCTATAATCCCAGCTACTTGAGCAGCTGAGACAGGAGAATCTCTTGAACTCAGCAGGTGGAGGTTTCAGTGAGCTGAGATCGTGCCACTGCCCTCCAACCTGGACAACAGAGTGAAACTTTGTCTCAAAAAAAAATAAATGTAACCAAATGACTTACAGGTATGCTGTCTTAAATTGTATCATGAAGTATCTACCTAAATGTAACCAATGTGAGATAAACTTAGTCTCAAAAAAAAAAAAAAAAAAAAAAAACTTTGTCTCAAAAAAAAAAAAAAGTAAGGGAAAAGAATCTTAATGTAGCTATCAGGACCCAGTTGAATGTATTTAGCTTTGCTGCTCCCCTTAGGAGGGCATATTATTTTTAACCGAAAGAGGACAAAAAGCATAGTGAGGGGTTTGGAAACCCTGTCATTTCAAGAAGGTTGATGGAATTGAAGACACACCCAGGAGAAGGGAATGTGGGGGTGAGGAGAACAGGGTGGTCCTCAGACAGCCAGGCCAACGTGTCGAGTGTTACTGGAAAAGCCCAGAGCACTGAACTGGGGCTAGAATTTTAAGAAAGTAATTTTTTTTAAAGTCATCAAATGCAAACAGCTTGTGGTTAATGCTGTCCAGCAGTGGAACAGGCTACTGTAGAGAACTGAGATTCTAGCACTGAAAGTGCTCAAGGGGTGACCAGATGATGATGGATAAAGAACTTGTAAATTAAATTGGGGCAGTTGGACTGGATGACCCAGGGATGTCTTCCAACTCTAGAACCCTATTTCAGAATGGGCCCCCTTAACTTGAGGGCTTGGGGCTGTCAGATTTATAGCCTAGTGGACCCTATAAGTATTAAGAAAGTTGTTTATTTCAAACCCTTTAAAAGTAACTTGTAAAAGAACAGAATGAGCCCCTCCTCTGTCTTGAGCAGAAGATATAAAAGAACCAGAGAGAAGAAAGCGGTAGATTAAGCAGAGAGACCCAAATCCATAACCATTTACCCCAGAAATGTCTTATGTTGTAACAGAGGAGTTTACCCAGAGACAGTATTTAAATACGTGAGTATTTAACTGTCTGGTGGTATGATGGGCCATTTTTGAATTCTGCTGGGCTCTATTCTAGTCTTCCATTTAGACTACAGCCTATGACCTAAAAATGTTAATTTACTGATATGGATACCAACTAGGAACCTACTCAGTTTTCTGCCTGGTGCCCCTGGGTGTACAAGGGAAGGATTAGACACTGTTCCAGTCCCAGCAAACATGTAACCAAGCAACGAAAGATGACTGCCGTCCAGAGCCCGAGCATGTGCTGTGTGAGGGACCATGAAGGAGAGGGATGACTGGGAGCTGGAGAGTTTGGATTTGTTCTGAGTCTTAGCAGATGGGTGAGATTGGAATAGGCAAGAGTGCAAAGATTCCCAGGCGGGGCGAACAGTGTGGCTAAATGTACAAAGACAGGCATGTGGTATATTAAGGATCAACAGAGAAACCAGATGAAACAAGTAGATTAAGTCAGTGGCAGCCTGAGAGGCTCTTTGTAGCAGTTGAACGCTTCGAGAGAGTTCTTGATTCAGCACCGAGACCCAGTAAGCCCTACCCAAGGGCTTCCCCAGGCTAGATGGTCTGTCTCCTTTCTTTCTTTCTTTTTTCTTCTCATTTTTTCTTTTCTTTCTCTCTCCATCTCCCTTTCCCTCTCTTTCTTTTAAGAGACAGGGTCTTGCTTATTGCCCAGGCTGGAGTGCAGTGGTGCAGTCACAATTCACTACAGTCTCAAACTCCCAGGTTCAAGCCATCTTCCCACCCCGGTCTCCCAAGTAGTTAGGACTACAGGTGCACATCACAAGGCCTGGCTAATTTTTAAATTCCTATAGAGATGGGTCTCTCTGTGTTGCCCAGGTTGGTCTGAAACTCCTGGCCTCAAGCAATCCTCCCACCTCTGCCTCCCAAAGTGCTGGGATTACAGGTGTGAGTCACAGCGCCCGGCCTGACTGTCCCCTTTCTGTTTGAAACTGTGCCCTGAGAACCACCCTTGCTTCAGGTACCTGACTCTTGTCAGCTCCATGGCATAGTTGGAGGCCTGCCCTAGGCGGGTGTGGGGAGAGGGCTGCTAAGTCAAGAATCCCACTGAAAGCACAGACCCAGGCCTGGGGTGGGGATTTCTATCTTGCAGATGAAGGACTCGCTCATCAACCTTCAGAACGGCATCAGGTCCCGGGACTACACGTCGGAAAGTGAAGAAAAGAGGAATCGCTATCATTGACAAGGCAGGAACAGGGTGACTGCAAGAGGCCTGTGCAATACATGTACATAGACCATATAAATATATATATATAAATATATATATACAGAATATAAATATATATATTATATACAGATTTTAAAAAAGAGATAATGCCTATGTACCAGGGAGAAGGAGCGGGACCTCCCGCCCCCTGTGCTGGCCGGAGCAGCGTTTTCCTATGGTGGAGCGGCTGAGGAGGGCAGGAACCGCCTCTCAGCACCAACCTCCCCTGATCTCCCTCCTCCCACCCTCTGTTCCCCACCCCTTCCCTTGCTGACCATTCTTGGCTCTTAGAAAGGAAATGTTGTTGAGCCAAAATTATGCCCGTGAAGACCCTAGGGTCTCAAAAAGAAGTCTCAAGTGGGCATTGCTTAAGGTGCTTCATTCCCTAATCCCCTTTTGATTTGTTTCCAAAATAAAAGAGAATCTTTTCTTCCCTACCCCAGGCTTCCCCAGGCGTTCTCTTGGGAACACAGAAGCATCAAGGGAGCCCAATCTAAACTCATAGGGCTGGCTACCCACTTGATCTAGACTGTACTGAGCGTCAGGTGGAGAGGATGCTTGGAAAGCTAGGAAGGCTGCATTGTGGGGTGGCAGGCTCCCGAGACTTGTGTTCTGAAGGATGCTCTCCTCCATCACCCCTGCACCTTCCTCCGACCTGTGTAGGGTGTGGACCCACTAAGGGCTGGGAATTTCTTACCCCACCCGCTTTCTCTCTGGTCTTCTCCCAGGCTGGATCTGGGCAAAGTGTCACTTTTTAGTGCCTAAATTCCTATTGTTTCTTTGTGCCCTAAGAGCACATTGTTTATTAGCCAGGGTGGAGCATTTTCGACCTTGTTAAACCTCTTTTAGTGCAAGTCAGGTCTATGGCTCTGCGGCCTTTGCTTGGAGCTGTCAGTGTGATTTCCAGGATGAGTCAGGGTGTGCTGGGCCCTCCAGGATTTGAGAAAGGGAGAGAAAGCCCTCACCACATCCAGGGTGCAGGGTCTACCCACAGAACACTGTGAGTGGTGAGCGCCAAGATGGGTAGCCAGCATCATTTGTTCTTGGAACAAACCAGCATTAGCCAATGGAGACAATTGTCTGAGACAGTTTGCATGTGGAAAAAGCATCTAAGCCATTGGAAGGACTTGGCAAAGGTGCATGTCTTTGGGCAGGAAAAGGGCAAGTGAAATCTATGTCCCCAGGGAGCCAAACATTCCAAATCCTGAGTTTCTCAGACTTGGGAATGGGGATTCTGGCAGGGGATGGAGTACAAATCCTGCTCTGGTCTCTGGCCCCAGAGAGGTGTAAGATCATTAAGGAGTAGAAGACACTAGCTCTAAAAAGGGAGACATTCAGGGCCTTTTCAGCGTTGGCCCAGTAGCACCATGCATTTATCTGAATTCACAGGGCCCTTTGGGCACATTCACCATCCCTCATACACTAAATACTATTTCTTCATATCATGACCGAAAGAGTCCCAGCAGCTCCAGGCAGAGCTTGTGGAGATGCATGAAACAGTCACAGCCAGTTTGGCATGCAGAGCTCTTCAGGCTTGCTTGATCTTCTCCTGGGCTTCTTGATGCAGGTACAGAAGGAACCCCAGATGTCCTAGACGTCCTAGGACATCAGCCCAAAGGACAAAGGATTTTATCACTCATTTACCCCCAAAGATAAAGTTGTATTTTTCTCTTAGAATGGCCTTTGACTCCCTGTGGCAGTTACAGTTTTTGACTTTTCCATGTGAGAATAAGGCCTTGATATTTCCCTAAGGGCAGGATCAGAAAACAGGAAGGTCCAAGCCCAGATCATCCTCCAAGGGAGGAGGATGAGGAGCCTCCAGGTCATCCGCTAGAGTAGATATTCCTCCCCTAGAGGAGGAGATGGGAGGAAATGCAGTTTCATGTAATACCTGTGAAGAGTGCATATGCCCACCAGCCAGTGGGTCCTTGTTCCGTTCTTGTCCAGGACCTCTGGCGAGGGACACGGGAAGGGATCAAGGGTCATGGGCCCTGAGCCAAAGAAGGAGGCATGGTACAGATTGCCGAAAGTCTCCCCCTGGGCACAGCCAGAAGCCAAAACTATTCCCAGGAACATTTTGAATGCAAAAATTGTAATTTTTTGAATTTCTTTCATACATAATTGTTTACTGAAGATATTTAATTATTAAAGGTGCCGTGGTGGGACCTTCAGGATGACTTAAAAAAGGTTCTTTGCTGGGAGTCGAGTGACAGTGCAGACGTGGCCGCAGGGAGTTGTTTTGCGTCTGCTTTACCTCTCAGGACCATTCTTAGGAGGAGGAGGTGGCAGGGAAGGCAGCACTGAGTGTGTCAGAAGAACCCTCCTGGTTTTTTAGTGATTTGAACCCAGTAGATGATGTGTGCCTATAGGGAATGTCCTTTAAGAATCACGGATTTCTTGTGGGCTCTCTCTGTTCTAATAATTTTTTGACTATCACACCAGGAGAAAACCAACAACTCTATTTGTTCCCAAACAAAATCTCTTTCCCCTTAGTAACTTGTGAAAGAGATGTTAACTCACCCTTGCAGATAAGTGAAACAAATAAATAGCATTGTATTCCTGGCCAGTAGCCTGGCAAGTTGGTGTCTGCAAGAGAGCATCAAAATCACTACTTCTTATGTAATTTCTTCTAGCCAGTGCTTTTTTGTTTGGTTTTTGTTTACTGGGGACACACAGGAGTCTTTCTGTAATGATTTAAGTGGTAAAATGTTAGAGTTTGCACTCAATTTTAAAGAATTTGCAGTTTTGAACCAGGTGAAGAACAGCTATAGGATGTAAAGTTTCATTACAGCTTACTGTGAAAGAATTGACAAGCCTGGCCATCCACCTCTCTGGAGACAAGAGGATTACATCTCAGGCCAGCAAGATCAACTGCATGAAACTCTGTATAAGAGCACTGCACTGACAGTTGGGAAACCTGGGCCTGGGTTCTGACTCTTTCATTGACAAATCTCTGTGGCCTTGGGCAAGTCAGTCCCCCTCTTTGAGCTTCGGTATCCTCCTGTCACAGGAAGGAGTTGGGCTAGATCACCTTTAAGGTAGGTTCTAGCTTTGACATCATCTTGGGGGGTAGGCCAGAGGCTGGGAAGGCTGGGTGGACTTTGTCAGTTGCTCTGCTAGGAGGGAACAAGCCCAGAGGCTGAAGCTTCCCAGTATTTAGAGGCGTGGTGTAGCAGTGTCTGCGTTAAAGTTTATTCTTTAAGTGGCTAGGAGGGCTGGGGAGGCCCAGTGGTGCAGAGAGAGAGAGAGAGAGATCAAGCTTGATGTATTGCTCAGTATTCACCTAGAAGGGCGTCTTCCTTCTTTGGCCTAGTTTGCGAAGGGATCTTCCTTTGGACTCTCTTGGGAGAACATTCTTTCCGATGGAACCCATCTTCTGTCTCTAGGCTCTGTGAAGCCTTTCACCTATCTATCCTTCATCCCTATTGGTAGAAGAAACAGTGGAGACAAGCTATTTCTGGTTGTAGCCCTTCTCTTTTGTCTAGATGGGGTTTGGATTCAGTATGAAGCTTTGGCTAAAACCGTTGGGTTGCCTTAGAGCACTGACACTAAGAACCTGGAATGACATGGGGAGGACCAAGAGAGCTGGAGAGGAATGCTTTGTGAGAAGTGGATTCTCTCTGTGTCCCTGCCCCCCACCCAAACTTGAACTCTACCTATTACAGTTCCAGGATGAGGTCCTGGAGAAAGGACTAGGGGAAGTATCTTTCTGGATGCTTGTCGTCCCAGAAGGGTACTTTCTGTGCCATACCATGCCACTTCTTTAAGCTCTGCAGGGCAGCCAAAGCCAGCCCTTCTCTCCTACTGCCCTCAGGAGAAATAGCACTCTTCTCCCTTCCCCCACATGGCAGGGCTCTGCTCTCCCTACACCTCATACCCTGCCTGCCTTCTCCAGGAGAAATCTCCAGGGACCCTTCCTGACTCTCCCCATCCTCACCACTTGTCTCTAGGCTATGGGACAATCATCCCATTCACTGCTTGACATCTTTGACTTTTATTCCCCCAACCTCCAACATGTTGGCCCCAATCCCCTCCACCTCTGTGTTTTCTTCCAGAAGATGCATTTTGGGTCTGAGAGGAGCATTTTCTTGGAAGGCCATCTTTTAAGGTCCCTGCTTGCTTCCATGGTGCAGAGCAGGGATTTGCACACGGTTTTGAGAGCTCACTTCCCACCTCTCTGCCCAGCCTTGTTACCTCACTTCTGCTCTGGTCATGGCTGTGAAGGGCCCAGCCAGCTCCCTGTTTTGATGTTCTGTGCGACAGCTCCAGGGTCTTGTGACTTGAGATCCTCAGCAGGCCTCGTGGCCCAGACTGGAGTCTTGGCTGCTGATGAGCAGCACCTTGCCTACCGAGAGGAGCTGATGCTGGACGATCTCCCCAACTTCTGAAGGCTTAAAGAACATTGTCATTTTTCAGCCCTCCTTGCTTCTCTCAGTACAATAAGACATTGCAGAAGCAAAATGGTGGCCTCTGCTCCAGGCAAGGCAGCTGGCTCTGTCTGGGGCATCGGCCTGGGGCTTGGGTGCCATGTGCTGAGATTGCATAGTCAAAGCAGCCATTTTTGCCAACAATCGCTTGTGGCTCTCCACATTTTCCTCCCCTGCACTCAAGGGCCAGACTACTCTCTGCATGGACCAGACCATCTTCCCAAACCCATGGTGCTTTTTCCCCAAACTCAACCTAGACTCCAAGGTGGGGAGGGATGGGTCAGAGGCCATAGTGGCCCCTGGATAATCCTGACATGGGGTGGAGTGGGGTGAGGCAGAGGGCGCAGCCCCAGCACCTGCACTGGGCCGTCTATGGGAAAGAACGCAGGTCAACTGCAGTTGAGTTGTCTGCCCATGTGTATTTGGATCTATAACTGTACTTTGCCTGGCGCTGTGCGCAAGGTTGGAACACTTACTGCTAGTACCTAGAAACACACAAGGCTGCCCAGCCAAATCTTAATGTAAAGTAGCTAGAGCCATGGAAGTACAGTATGAATTAAAAAGAAAAAGTATTGAACTACAAAAATAAATGGTGTGCGTGTTTATTGCGTGATTTATGAGTGCTCATCACCTGGGATGTTTCTGGTCGTCCCAGATAGGCTCACAGCAAGGCCTGAAGGCATGTTTGTGGCATGCTTGTATACACACACACACACACACACGCACGCACATAGCCATCCACCTTCTCACTGGACGGAGGCTGCCTGATCAACTGGAATGGATAAATTTGAGTCAGACCTGAGTCTTTACGAACTGTGTGACCTTATGCCCCATCTATCACTGCAAGTCTCAGTGTTTCAGAGATAATGCACTTAAAAACACATAGTTCTTAGTATGACAGCTGGTGTACTAAAATATACATAAATACATATATATGAATATAAATAGATTTATATATATATAGATTTTATATATGCCTATATGTATTTGAGACGGTCTCACTGTCACCCAGGCTTCAGCCTTGATCTCCTGAGCTCAAGTGTGTTTCCCACCTCAGGCCCCCAAATAGTTGGGGCTACAGGCACACACCACCATGCCAGGCTATTATTTTTTTAGAGATGGGGTCTCACTGTGTTGCCCAGGCTTGTCTCAGACTCTTGGCCTCAAGTCATCCTTCCGCCTCAGCCTACCAAAGTGTTGGGATGATTTTTAATCTTATGAGTCAGTACTACTGTTGCAGGAGATTGTGGTGGACTGTGAATCTCCGTGATGGTTTCTTGTTGACCTTTTCCCTCTTCGGGCCTTAACACTTCTAGGAAGATGGATGTTGAGAGACTGCTTTGTCTTCTTTTTTCATGTTACCTAAACTGGTGGAGCTGAGAGCCAGGCTGGCTCTTCCCTTCATTAGGTCTGCCTTGGCCTTGCAAGGAGCTCCTTGCCACCTGGTTAGGAAACTTATTTAATGCCAGGCAAGAAAGCAAGTGACTCTTGTATTCCTTCGTATTGAGTAGAGCAGGAAAGGGAAGCGGAGAGGCTAGATCACACGTTTAGTGTGGTTTTCTGTGAGGCTATTACATGATTTTCATTCTCATGCATATCCACAGATTGGGTACAGGAATTTGAAGCAGGCTGAGGTGCTGGGGAAGCCATATTCTATGGGGCAAACACACTGAGTAAGTAGGGCAAAAACCAAAGAGAGTGGTTTTTACGGGTACTTTATTGACATGAACAAGGAGTTTACTGAAAAACACCACATACAGGCATTACATTGTTGAGGGCTTAGATGGTCAGGAACATTTCTCAAGTTTGGAAAAAGATTGGCTGTGGAAAATCAAGAAAAGGCAATATGAAGATGATAACATGGAAAATAGTTCCATCTGTTGCAAGACTAAGAGTTTGCAGATTGTGTTCGATGGGGGTTCACAAGCCTGAAAACACTCAGCCTTCAGCGGCCTCCCTCTCCATCACACACACTGCCCAGCAGAGGAAGCTCTTGCCACGCAGTGACACAGGGAGGAAGCATAGAGCACTGCTGGCTCTGAGGGTTAGCTGGCCTGGGATGGAGGCCGAGTTTGATGTATAAATCAGACTTGCTTGGAAGTGCTTAATCTCCTGCGTCCTCCTGCAAACTCAACTAAGGGGTAGGAATTGGGCTGAGCTAATCATGAACTGTCCACCAGCTGAGATCTTAGAGATTAAGTAAGGTTTGGATGATGCTGTTTTTCAGATCTATGACCGCATGGCACACTAACGGTCTAGACTAGCACTTGACAGAGTGGGTGCCAAAAGATGTTCGTACAGCAAGTGGATGATCAGGTTGGCAAGCACACCAAGCACTATTCAGCTACATTTGCAGTGACTAGGCGAATTCACTGGATTGGGGATTTTTTATTACAAAGTGAGGTGAGAGGAAGGCTTCTTTTGTTGTTTTCATTTTCATGTTAAACTGGGAAAGGAGAAACTAAGATATATTCTGAAGTGTGTCTAGCTCTTGCTTCTCTTTCTTCCTACAAAGATGCAGTTGCACAGCCTTTTCCCTCTGAGATGTGTAAAATTTCTTTCTTGATCCAGTAATTTTGGGAGGAGAGGAGGAAGCTGCTGTCTCTTAACCATGCACTGCTCTACACACTTCGCAGCATATTCTTGCTTTGAAAAGTAACTTTCCTAGTAATATTTCTAGTTGGACATCTAAGGAGAAACTTGAAACTCAGAAGGGAGTCTGGGTGTGTGGGTGTTTGGGAATGGAGAAACTAAAGGAGCTTGCTGTCAAACAAGTGGTGAGAATAAAGGCTGGGGTAGGGACAGGCACGGAGTGTTTGGGTTGGGGCTCTGATACAAAAATGAGGTGACAGTGAAGGTCAGCAGGGAAAGGTGCTCTCAGGGCCAACTGGATCGAGGAATCACATTCATGGCTGTGAAGCAGTAAGAACGGGAAAATCAGACTGAGCCAAGCTTGGCCGTTAGTGAATTGTGTCACTGAGGATGAGACATGGGAAATATCCAGCACCAAGACAACAGATGGGGTTTCTAAAGTGATAGTAATAGCCCTTGAGAACTCTTCTAAGCCCTTTAACAAGCAACATCATGCCCGATAAAGCTTCCAGAGAAATACATATCTAGTCTGGGTCTTTCGTAGGATTACGGGAAGAGACGGGGAGGTGGGTGGAGATTGGAAGTAGGCTGGTGATCACAGTACCTTGTAGATTTATAGTCATGATCAAGTCTCCCAGGAGGGAATTTAATTGCAATTCAGGAGAAATGATATACAAACCAACTAGAAAGAGAACCAAAATAGGACCGACTCTCAAAACACATTGCTAGCATCCACCAAAACGCAAAGTGGTAGAGAAGCAGTGAGTGGGATGATGGGTGAGAGAAGATGGAGAACATTAGGACAGGCAAGATAGGCAATGGTGAGATGGGAGCTAAAAAATAAGAAAAGGAAGAAGCTATGGTCTAACGGGAAGGAGAACTGAAAAAGGAGTCGGAAGATCTGGGTTCTTGCTGTCTACCTACCAGCTAGGTTTCCTTATAATTTAGTAAAGCTACTTAAACTCAGAGAGCATCAGTTTCTTCTTTTGTAATGTAAGCATTAATAATATTGACCTCACAGGACTAGTGAAAAAGAAGAAATAAAATAGTTAAGTGAATACTTTGTAAACTATATAGTTCCAATGAAATTGTCAAGAATGAGAAGAGTGGAGAAGTTAGGAAAAGAAAGAGTAGGGAAGATAACCTGTCATGGATAAATAAGTGATAGGCATCATTCAGCTTCATTAAAGGTCATGCAAGCAGCATCCAAGTTGGGTTTTTAAAAAAGAAGAGAAAAAGGCAATCATGCATACTGGCTGGTTCAACTTAGATACATGAGCTATTGGACCACAGAGGAGAACGGAGCGGGGGTAAGCATATTGCCAGTGCTGCAAGCCGTGGTATCTGTGAGCTATGGGACTGGAAAAAATTCACACCAACTCAGGTCAATTTTCCTAACTCTAGTTAAAAACAGGCCTATATTCTCTCTCCTATTTCAGAGAGATGGTATGGAAAATTACCAATAAGAAGAGTCTTGAATTTATTGCAAATATTTCCTTCAACAAAATCAGACTCTCACATTAGTGTCAAGGGTCTGGTTTTGGGCTGGGCACAGTGGCTTACACCTGCAATCCCAGCACTTTGGGAGGCTGAGGCTGGTGGATTGCTTGAGCCCGGGAGTTCAAGATCAGCCTGGGCAACATGGCAAGACCCCCATCTCTATAAAAAATACAAAAATTAGCCAAGTGTGGTGGTGTACACCTGTAGTCCCAGTTACCTGGGGGGCTGAGGTGGGAGGGTTGCTTAAACCTGGGGAAGTTGAGGCTGCAGTGAGCTGAGATTGCGCCGCTGCACTCTAGCCTGGAAGACAGAGTGAGACCCTGTCTAAAAAAAAAGAAAAAAATACTAGTTTTAAGTACTTTCCTAGGAATGGAAGAATGAAAAAAAAAATAAGCTTTTAAGGTAAAGCCTTAAACCAATGGAATATGCTCTTTCCCTATTAAGGGGGGACCCAGGTCTGAAGGACCTCTCACTGAATCCCAGTCACCTTCATCTTCTTACATTCCATAAAGCATCTTTCCCCTCTCTTGTCCCTAGGTGCCGAAGGATGTCACTCTTGGACCTGTCACTCAATTAAAATGAAACATGAGATACTGACTAAAATTTTTTCCAGCTTCTCTGCTCCCTCAAAATCTAGAGGAAAAATATCTGAAAATTATGCGTTCATAGGTGAAGTATTTGGAAGCCACCTACCCATCCCTCACCTCTCACATCACTCATTCGCTTATCTTCCGTCTCAGACTAAACATTTTTCTTAGTTTAAATATCATTCTCAGGTGCACTCTCCTTCTGGAGGATATTTCAGATTCACAAATCTTTACATAAAGGAAGTTCTTTAAGTCTACCTCGTGTTCTTCTCTCTGCTTTTTTGGCCAATTTCTAGTAACCTCAATCTATCAGAGTTGACCCCAGTCTGTGCTTGTGAAAGAAGCATTGCCATAGACAAGTTCAATGTCAGAGTCTTCAAAAACAAAGTTATCGACTGGGTGCAGTGGCTCATGCCTGCAATCCCAGCACTTTGAGAGGTTGAGGTGGGTGGGTCATTTGAGGTCAGGAGTTGGAGACCAGCCTGGCCAACATAGCAAAACCTTGTCTGTACCAAAAATACAAAATTTAGCAAGGCGTGGTGGTGTGTGCCTGTAATCCCAGCTACTTGAGAGGCCGAGGCACAAGAATCACTTGAATCCAAGAAGCAGAGGTTGCAGTGAGCCAAGATCGCACCACTGCACTCTAGCCTAGGTGACAGAGCAAGACTCTGTCCCCTCCCCGCAAAAATAATCATCCCAGGAAGTGTAAACTGGGCAGCACCTAAGGCTTATTTCTGCTCCAGTTTATCCTTTTAAGCCTCTTACTCGATTGAGTCCTGTAGGAGTCTTAGTTGCCTCCTTTATGTAAAATGGGAATAATACTGATGCACAGAAATTTTGAGAGGAAGAACTTAGGAATTTCAGTCCTAATGCCCAAGTGGTGTGCTCATAAGGAGGGCATACATATATTATCGCAATAGGATCAGGAACACGTTCATGTTGCATGACTTTTTAAGAGCCACTTAAATTACCATTGGTCCTTCCCAAGCCACCTGTCCTTGTCGTCTTGGAGGGACCTTAGAGACCCATCAGGATCTAGCCCTGGAGTGCTGAGCTCCAGAGAGCATGCTAGTCCATGCTTCAGGATCTGTCACTGGAGAACCTAGGGAGGCATGCTTCGCTCTGATGCTGTAGCAAAGTGGGCCATGAACTTGAAAAAACTAACTTCAAGGAATCCAAGTTCACGACATACTTTTGCTTTAACCTGAACTAATCACACCTGCTTCCTTCTATTAAGACATCCTTTCTCTTACAGTAATGGAGAATGAACCCGTTCCAGCCAGTTAAGGGCAGAGGGAGGTGCTGACACCAGCACTTGTACAAAGTCATTTGGAGCACAGGGGAGAAATCCAGTTGGCTTTGGAGTGTCTTGTTGGAAAACTACGACAGGGTGAGGTTGAGTCTATGAAGAAATGTTGGCTTCTCCGTTCTGGCAAAGTCTCATGGTGCATAGGGGTCTGATGGAGTTACGAAATCAGAGGTGAAAGCTCAGAGGCAGGTGGATGTATGGATGAATGAATAGAAGGATGGATGCATGAAGGAAAGCGACGAGGCCCTTGGGGCACCCTCCTGATGCTGTTGACATTGCTGAACACGGGATGTCCAGTCCCTCAGGTGTTCAGGCCACCTACCAAAGATAAAACAACTCACTGAGAATTTCCAGGCCAGTCCAGGCCAGTCCAGCCCAGCCCAGCCCAGCCCAGCCCAAAAATTCTTTGACCAAAGAAGGGAGTTGGAGACTTCCTGTGCCTCTGTTACCATGGGCAAGTTCAGGTTGCCTTGACACACAGGCCAAACCCAGCCCAGCCCAGCCCAAAAATTCTTTGACCAAAGAAGGGAGTTGGAGACTTCCTGTGCCTCTGTTACCATGGGCAAGTTCAGGTTGCCTTGACACACAGGCCAAAGCAGTTCACCTTCTGAAGGGCTGATACTATAAAGAGCTTTGTGACTTAAAGAATTACTCTGAGGGTGGGGACCCTGGGCAGGATAGACAGTGACCTAAGGGACCAAATTTAAAGTCACTTCCGTTGTGGGTGACAAAGTCACTTGTACAACCTGCCATCCACATCTGCCTTCCCCTCCTGTGTTCCTGTGGGTCACCTCATGTCACACCACTCCTGTTCTATTCCTCCACTGGTACCGCAGAGTTCTCCTTGTTCTCAGATGGGATGGCAAGGTAGTCAGACCTATAGAGGACATAGGGAAAGGGAGTCAGAGCTTCAGTACCTGGGGTGGGAACACAAGAGGGAGGAAGGAGCAGGGCAGAGGAGCAAGGATCTACAGAACGGCTCTGCATTTCCTTCTGCATGTGTTTCCCAAGAGGAACACAACCCTTTCTGCAGATTAAAATAATCATTCCCCACATGCATAGATGTATATGAACACCCAACAGCAGTGTATAGCTTCTCTTTTATCCATGTTGTCTTCAGCATTTAGTTAGATTAAAATGTTGGCCAATTGGCCCGGGGTGGTGGTTCATGCCTCTAATCCCAGCGCTTGGGTGGCTAAGGCAGGAAAAGTGCTTAAGCCCAGGAGTTCAAGACCAGCCTGGGCAACATGGCTAAACCCTGTCTCTACAAAAAAAAAACCAAAAATTAGCCAGGCATGGTGGCATCTGCCTATAGTCCCAGCTACTTGGGAGGCTGAGGTGGGAGGATCACCTGAGCCTGGGAGGTCAAGGCCGTGACCGCACTGCTGCCCTCCAGCCTGGCAACAGTGAGACCCTGTCTCAAAAATAAAATAAAATAAATAAAATAAAATGTTGGTCTGACAGCTGTCTGACTGTTCATTTGCTTTCTAGTTCTTCTGAGATCTTTGTCTTTTCTTAATTGATTTTTCTTTGATGGTTTCATGTCTTGACAATTTCTCCCAGTCTCTTGTCTATGAAATTTGCTTATGGAGTTTCCTAATGAACAGTTGATTTTTTATGTATAATATAATCAAAATTATTTTCCTCTTTGATTTGTGCCTTTTGTGTTTTGTTTGGGAAATCCTCTCTATTCTAAGGTGATATATTCTCTTACATTCCCTTAATGGAATTTTCAAGCTTGACGTTTTACTTTGTGTTTAAATCCACTCACAGTTTATTTTGGCTTAGTATGAGAGCTGGGGAATCTAATTTTGTTTTTCGTTTTTCTTTGTTTGTTTCTATGTGGATTAGGAATTTTCCTTGGACCACTTACTGGGCAGTTCATTATTCCTTTAATGATTATAATGTCATCTCTGTCACATATCAGGCTTTCCTACATGCATTAACCTGATTGGGGCTTTTTGCTTTGTTTGTCCATTTTATATGCCTATGCGGTATCATAAACTGTGTATTCTGATAGCTCTGTAAGAAACCTTCATCTCTGATAAGACAAATCCTACCAACCTCTTGCAAATTTACTGCTCTTTCTTTGAAATGGTTTAGACCAAGGGTGGGCAAACTATGGCCTAAGAGCTAAGGATGGTTGTTTGCAAACAAACAGAAGAACAATACGTGACAGGGACCTATGGAGCCAGCAAAGCCCAAAACACTTATTTTCTGGCTGTCCCTTGGTTTAGACTATTTTTGGCCACTTAGCCTTCCATGTGACTTTTAAGATCAGCTTATTAAATTCTTTGAGAAATCTAATGAGCATTTTGATTGGAATTTCACTGAATTTGAAGATTCATTTGGGAGAAAATCATTTACAATAGTGAGGTTTTATTCTCCATCTAGTTAAGTTTAAAGTCTTTCAGTAAAGGTTTGTGACTTTTTCTTTAAATGTCTTATGCATTTTTGTCAGATTTATCCCAGGAACTGGAGAGTACTTGTTGCTACTGTAACTTTAAAAGCATTTTAATATTTTAAATATTTAAATATGTTACTAAATTTGTTGCTGGAATATAGATGATTTTTATATTTTGATTTGTATCAACAATTTTGTAGAATATTCTTTCTAGTCCTAATGGCATTTTTATAGATTTGCTTAGGTGACTTTTGTAAATAATAGGTATAAATAATGAAAATTTAGTTTCTTCCTTTCCAGGTCTTTTTCTTTTTGGTATTTATTTGGTCTTCACCTAGGATTTCCAATACAATATTGATAGAAACAGGGAGAGGTAGTATCCTTGATATGCTTCTGATATTACAGGAATTTGAGGTTTCAACACATAGATGGTATTTGCTGTAGGCTATCTTCGTAGCTGCCGTTTATTACTTTGAATGTGCTTGGTGTTTTCTGGGCACGGTGGCTCACACCCGTAATCCCAGCACTTTGGGAGGCTGAGGTGGGTGGATTACAAAGTCAGGAGTTTGAGACCATCTTGTCCAATATGGTGATATCCTGTCTCTAATAAAAATACAAAAATAGCCAGGCATGGTGGCGCGCATCTGTAGTCCCAGCTACTCGGGAGGCTGAGGCAGAAGAATCACTTGAACTCGGGAGGCAGAGGTTGCAGTGAGCCGACATCGTGCCACTGCACTCCAGCCTGGGCAACACAGTGAGACTCCATCTCAAAAAAAAAAAAAAAAAGAAAAGATGTTTGGTGTCTAGGTGTAGATGTATTTTATTTATTTTGCTCAGGGCATATTACGCTTCTGGAATCTGAAGAGTCATCCCTCCCTCAGCCGCCCTGTGTCTGAACACTGTCTCTCCTCCATTCCCCGTTCTATTCTCATGCACCTTGCCATTTGTTTCCTTCAGATTTCTTTGCATGGCTTGTCTTTTCCCATCTCTGTGCTTCAGTCTGCAGAACTTTCTCACATTTATCTTCTGGTTATCAGCATCTAATCTTCTGCAGAACCATTCACGTCCAGATTTTTTTGTTTCTGTTTGAATCTGCCTGTTCTTTCATCTTAGAAACTTACTCTATTCTTATGCTTTCTTTTCTTTTATTGGTCTGTTTAAACAAGCTTGTTTTTATTGTTTATTTCTGTTTAAACAAGCTTGTTTTTATTGTTTATTTATTTCTGAGACAGGTCTTGCTCTGTCACCCAGGTTGGAGGGCAGTGCCACAATAATGGCTCCCTACGGCCTCAAACTCCTGCGTTCAAGCGATCCTCCCTCCTCAGCCTCCTGAGTAGCTGAGACCACTGGTACGCACCACCACATCAAGCTGATTTTTTGATTTTTTTAAGAGATGGGGTCTCACCACGTTGCCCAGGCTGGTGTGAAACTCCTGGACTCAAGTGATCCTCCCTCCTCTGCCTCCCAAAGTGCTGGGATCACAGGTCTGAGCCACTGCACTAGGCAAGCTTATTTTTTATACTTGGTCAGATCCTTTTTGTGTCTAAAGCTCCTAGGATTCACTCTTGCTCCTGCTGGATGGCTTTTCGCCATGTCTTTTAGTTTTGGACTGGACTGTGGAATCAGATCCAGCAGTGCTCTGTCTGGGGACTCCTATTAGGCCTTGGCTGAGAATGGGTTCCTTCAGAATGGTTTTCATTTTCTTCTATAAGACATTCATAGGTATCACTGGCTGGGTACTAATTTTTACAGAATTTCTCAGCTTAGAGGTTCCTGGGTCATATGGGTGGTATACATTTAAATCTCAAACACTGTGAGAGCAGGCTTGTAGTTACTAACTCTCAAGAATCTTTATTTTTCTACTTGGAGTTAGGCCAAGAAGGCTAAGTTTCCTTGGCTTTTCCCTGGGTTGGTGGGCTGATTATTTTCTAGTCTACCCTTTATGTGGGTCGTAACCTTCTGAGGATTCTAGCTCTGCAGAGGGCCATGGTTCCACTCTGTTTCTTGTGCAGGCCCAATTGTAGGTCCTTGCTATCCAAGCAGTAAATCCCAAGCACCTAAGTCACCAGGAATTACCACCTTTCTCAGCATCACACTTCGTTCTCTCCTTATATCCAGTCAGTTGTAATCTTTTACTTCCCTAAGATCATAGATATCATGCAAAATGATACTTTCTTTATCAAACATTTCTAACTGGTAAGAGCCTAGACTTTCTAGGGTTTGCCTTAGCAATGTTGCTAGCAATCTGTGGGTTTTTTCTACCTTTCCTAGCCCCAGACAGCCAGCCAGCATGATCTCTGAGACTCTTTGCTCTTACAGATGTCATCATTTCTCAAATGTGCTCACCCTTGAGGGACGAGAGTCTCAGAGCAAATGGCTAAGGTACAGGCTGGACATTTGCGGATTAGAGTCCCCACTCTGGACATGCCATCACTGCCAGGTTCTAAGGGAAAGAACATGTTGCTTGGAGCTTCTTTGCCAGCAAAGGGTAGTGTCCAGATGGCCTGAGGAGTTCCATGGTATAAAGCAAACAGTTAAATGTGATAGAAAGAGCATGGACATAAGGACTAAAGAGACCTGGGTTCACATCCCAGCCTTTCCTCACACTATCTGTGTGCCTTGGTAAGCTGCTATAAGTCTGCTTTGGCATTTACAGAATAGCAATAATAATGTTACATTGTTGTTGTTTTTGTTTGTTTTTGAGATGGAGTCTTGCTCTGTTGCCCAGGCTGGAGTGCAGTGGCATGATCTCGGCTCACTGCAACCTCTGCCTCCTGGGTTCGAGCAATTCTCCTGCCTCAGCCTCCCAAGTAGCTGGGATTACAGGTGTATGCCACCATGCCCAGCTAATTTTTGTATTTTTAGTAGACACAGAGTTTCACCACGTTGGCCAGGCTGGTCTATAACTCCTGACCTCAGGTGATCCACCAACCTCAGCCTCCTAAAGTGCTGGGATTACAGACGTGAGCCACCATGCCCAGCCATAATAATGTTACTTTAATGGGTTGTGGTGGCAGCTTATGGTCTTTGCCTTAATGGTTAAGTGTGCTAGCCAAGCATCAGCGGGCCTGAATTCAAACATCGCTTTGTTTCTTACAATGGCCTTAAGCAAACTCTCCCAAATTCAGTGTTCTCATCTGTAAAATGGGTATAATAATGGTACCTATCTCTTAAGTAGCTATCAGGAAGAGGGTGGAGGATGAATGTAAATTGCTTAGCACCTCACCCGTGAGAGCAAGCATTCCGGAGGCGCTTGCTTTCGTACGACTTTGGCATCTTTGGACTTACGCGTTTTCTTGGGCTGCCTCTTCAGCCTTTGAGACCTTTCTGTAGCAATATATCATCTCAATGAGCAGCCACAAGGTGAGGAAGACCAGAAGGATGTACATCATGATTTCTGAGACCACAGACGTGAAGTCCTCTCCGGCTGAAAGAAAGAGATTGAGGCTCAGAATATGCACGTCCAACAAACCCAGGGCTGTCATTGGAGCCATATTTTTAAGTACAGCTTAAATAAACTCAAGAAGATATCAAAGGAATTCCAAATTCTGACTCTCCCATTAATTGGCTTTCTCACTGACTGTCGTTGGCTGCTCAGGAGACAGGGATGAGGGAGTGGGGTGCCTGCAAGAAGCAGCAGGGCAGTGGAAGGAATCCTGGCCTCAAAGTGAGCTATCTAGAGCTGGCTCTCCATTTTGCTGTTTACAGGTGTGTCAACAACCATTTTCCTTACTTAAGACTCAGTTTCTTAATTTGTAGGATGAGGATAATAACACCAAGCAGGAGTTTGTGAATATTACACTATCTAATGTATTTCAGAACATGTTGTGAGATTAAAAGTCTACACAGATGTAGGAACATGCCTTATTTCAACTGCCTCTATCTTGTGCGCTGCTGGGGGTAGAGGGTGGTATTCCTGAAGAGAGAACATCGGAAAATTCATTCAGGGCCAACACAGACAGCTCGCACAAGTTCTCTTCAAGTCTCCGTTATAAACGAGACCTTCCAGGTCATCCCCAAACCAAACATAAATGAGTATTGGAGGATTTAATGTAGCAACCACATTGTCCCCGGGGTTATGCTTCTGAAACACAGGATCCTGCCATTTCCCTGCTTAAAACTCTTCAATGCTCCACAGTGCCCTTAAGATGAAGCCCCAACTCTGTTCATGTGACATGCAAAGGCCTTCACAATCCAGCCTTTCCTACTTCGTTTCCATTTGGTTGGCCAGAAAAACTTCTGCTACACATGATGGTATGTTAGAACTGTGGACCTTTCTTCCTCTACCCTCTTCTTGGGTTGCGCCTCTCACCCTTGCTAGCTCTGTGCTAACATCCTCTCCAGCTTTTCAGTCTCCCACTAGTTCTAGATTCTTCTGAGGTCCTCTCTTTTGTGAAACCTTCCCCAACTTCTCATGCAGAGATATTCACAACTTCTCCATGCACTTTTCTTTCTTTATTTTTGTAGATGGAGTTTCGCTATCCTCACCAAGGTTGGAGTGCAATGGCATGATCTCAGCTCACTGTAACCTCTGTCTCCTATGTTCAATCGATTCTCCTGCCTTGGCCTCCCAAGTAGCTAGATTACAGGCACCCACTATCATGCCCAGCTAATTTTTTATGCTTTTAGTAGAAACAGGGTTTCACTATGTTGGCCAGGCTGGTTTTGAACTCCTGACATCAGGTGATCCTCCTGCCTCAGCCTCCCAAAGTGCTGGGATTACAGGCGTGAGCCACTGCACCTGGCCTCCATGTACTTTTCTCATCCATTATAAGAGTTGTACTGTGATGGGTTTATCTTTCTTTTCTGTGGACCGTGTGCTTATTGAGAACATATTTCTTTCTGGATTATCTGCCTGCTATGTATTTAAAGTGCTCAATAAGTATTTATTGAATGAGTGAACATAAATATTATCTTATTTGTTTCATGATCAACAAAAAGGATCATGAAAACATAATACATAGCAGATATCCTGTCATATATACTCCCTGCTAGTGGGAGGAATGTTGCAGCCACCTCTCCCCTTGCCAGTTCTCAAAAGCAAGTCAGATTTATGATCTGCAGTTATCCACAGGATCTAAGTCATACCCAAGTCTTTGCTTGCTAAGAGTACAGCACAGCCTGCCATAACTGTCAGCCCAGGGAGCAGTCCAAAGGCCCCAGGATCATCTAGGTTTCCCAGCTGGAGCTGGAGGTCTTAGATGCAGTATGAGGCACATGAGAATGCTGTGCAGCTCAAACGTCTTCTCACGGGCTCGCTACCACTTAATTGTGATTTGTTTGGCATAAAGCATGCTTTCTCTTTCAAAATGCAGTAGCCCACAAATGGTAATAAGGGAAGCTGTTTTCAGTGTTTTTAGTTACCTCCAGGTGAAGAGGCCTCAGACTTCTGCCTTAGGAGCAGGAGGTGACAGCCTAAGCCAGAATAAACCCAACTTGAACAAAGAGAACCAGGGACACCTTCGGGGACCACAGGAATGGAGGAGATGGTGGGGTTGGGGGCAGGTGTTATGGTGGAGCGCGTAGCTCTGAGCAAGATGAGGGCAGGGAGTATCTGATGTCACAGAGGCAAAAAAAGAAAAGCAAAAAAGAAAAAGTGGCAGGGGTGGGGGTAGTGGGGGTGGGAAAAGAAGCAGTGGAAAGAAAGCCAGCCGGATAGGCAAACAATCTGGATTTTCCTCCTGCTTCCAGTGCTAACTTGCTTCACGTCCCTGAGCAAGCCCCTTGCTCTTGCAGTGAACTCTGTTCTCCCAGCCAGAAACTGAGGCGCACCAGAGCTGCACCCTCCAATAGCTGGGGACTCATTCAACTTGCGCGGAGCCTCACCCACCCCTGCCGATCTCACACCTGCAAGGGTGCTGCAGAGGTGACTACGTTTCGAAGAAGTCAGTGTGGGTCATTCTGATGCCTGCCCTTTATGTAGAGGCCCTGGATTAAATAAATGATATCCATGCTTCCTCCAAACCCGACCATCCACGAGGCTCTGTGGCTCTGATAATAAATTTGTTTTTCCTTCTGTTTTTACCCGAGGCTTGCTCTGGTGCCTGGCAGACGAACTAGCTCAGCCTTGCCACACTTTCCACCAGTTATGCACAAGGGTCTCGGGGGAAAAAGCCTGAGAGAGCTGGAGGTGGAGACTGTTGTGCACTGTGCTAGGGGCTGGCTGGCACCAACAGTTCCAGACAGTGACCAGGAGAGGGCGCCAGGGAAAGGTGTGTAATAAACGGGGAAATAAAGGAATTTCAGAACAGGACAGTACCTTACAGAGCACCTCCCCCCTCATCCAACCCCCTCATTTCACACCAGAGAAGCACGGCTCAGAGCAGGGAAGTGACTCTTCAGGAGGCCTAAGCGTCCTTCTGCATTTGCAGAATTGACCTACCTTCCATTTTAGTTACCTCGTCTGACCATTATGTCTCTTTCTCCTTCGTTCATTGACTCTGAGGACCGAATCTTCGCCTATTTTTATCACAATGACATGATAAAAAATGAATAAACCTGTGGCCTGGAGGTTGGTATTCCTGGATCCTTTTTTCTAGGAAGAGCCCTGTCTAGCTTGATCTTTTCTTTCATGCCCCACACTTTGGCCTGCTCCCCAGCCTACCTCTCGGGGCAGTAATAATGCTGGCCATAGACCGAGAAAGGCTGGAACTCCACCCTCAGGAGGCTGGATTCCACTTGCAACAGAAACACGTGAGTTAGGCTGCCGAAAGGACTTCCCACTCACCAACAGGGAACTAGCTGTAGGAGTCCAAAGATTTTAAGTAAGAATAGAGAGCTACCAACCTGTCCCCCTTCTCCCAGCAGAGAATGAATTCATGTAATAAGAGATGCCACAGAGATGGGGAAGGGGTTGCATGTATGATTATTGTGAAGAAAGACAAAAGAAGAAAAGATTGTGAAACTTCAGTTTAGAGAGCTGTTCTCAAAGTGTGCTTGCAGCAGCAGCACGGCCTGTGTGTCAATGTGTCAGGCAATGCAAACTCTCAGGCCCCACCGACAGAAGCAGAAAGCCTGGGCTCCACAAAACCCTGCAGGAGAATTTGAGGTTTGCTAAAGTTTGAGAACTCCTGGTTTAGAGGCATGCATTTCTCACAGGCAGAAGGAGAGATCACTTCTGAGATTTCTCTGAGCCCACTGAGTCAGGGATTCAACATAGGCCAGAGGAATTCAACAGGCCTAGCTGAATCAGTAGCTTTCGGCCTCGTGGAGGCTAGCGTCTTTCTCTAAGAGACCGGGAAGAGGTCATTCTGCCATCTCCAAGCCTTTCTGCTTTGAGGAAAGGCACAGAAAGATAAGCTCCTTGGGCAGTTTACAAGAAGCTGGCCACCAAAGGCAGATGGGTCAATGGTGACATTTTTAGATGTCACCATTCCACATACCCGGGCGTTTGCACCCTTTAAGGATCTCGCTCACGTGGAGACCTGCTATCCGGCCCTGCCATGCCCACAGAGAGCAGGACGCTCTAGAGACCCTGTGCCTCAGCCTCACCCTCCTCGGTGACTCTTAGGGGGATAAGCCGCGTCGTCTTCACAAAGGGCCGATGCGCCTCAAACTCAAACTCCCGGGACACATTGCAGGTGTAGAGGCCAGAGTCATTCAGAGTGACGTTGAGCACAGTGATGGACACGTCCTGCAGGTCCTTGCTTCCATTCCACTGCAGACGCCCCTGAAAGGGGCTCTCCACCTCCTGGTGGCCGTTCCGATACTCATAGATCTGCAGATAGAGGAGCAGAAGAAGGTAGGGCCAGGAGAGGGGATGGGGGAAAAGCCGAGTTAGGGACAGGGCAGAGAAAAGGAGCAGAATTGTGCATGGACAGGGAAGACAGGGGAGCGTGTCACCAGGAGACCCAGAATGTGGGGGTGGGATGAAGAGGCACAGAGGAGGGTAGGAAAGAGAGCAAAGACAGAGAAGGACAGGCAGAGGCAGCGGGCATCAGGGCATATAGTCACGGTGAGGACAGAGGCAGCAAGGGGTGGGCAGGAAGAAGCTTGGCAGGAAAAAAGCGGTGGAAAGAGGGAGAACAAAGGCAGGTGGGAGAAGGGTATGGGAGACCAGGAGGGGGATATTGAGAGAAAGACAGGATTTGAAAGAGATAGAAGGAGAAAACAAGAGTAAGATGTGTCCCAGGACCACCAGCGAGAGAACAATATACAGACAGCAAGACAGGCAGTTTCATTAGTAATGACGACATCTGACAGCCCTGGCTTTAAAACTGGACTCTCTGTGCTGGTACTCCTCAGGGGCTGTGGGACAGTCTGGGCCAGGCCACAGGAAGAGGGCTTAGGATGCTGAAATGTGGCAGATGAGCAGAGAGCCATCACCAGAGAGGCACACGTCACATCTTTTGCCTTGGACTGAATTTTAACTGAAATCTCATCTTTTACATTCTCAACACTTCCACCCTCTGACATAACACACCTTTTCTTCCTCTCTCACTACAGTTGTGCTGTCTATTCCTGTCTCCACTAGCTACTTAAATTCAATTTCCTAGAAATTAAATAAAATGTCAAATTCAGCTCCTCAGTGGCACCGGCCACATTTCAATTATTCATAGCCACATATGGCTGGTGGGCATTGTACTGCACAGCACATAGAGCTTTCCACCATCACACGCATCTCGATGAGACAGCATTGTTCTGGATTTCCATGGGTTTTTTTGCTGTTGTTTCATTTTTCATGTTCTTCTCCTTCTGATCCACCCTCTCCTCACTTCGGGCAGGCCTAAAAGAAATGTGGGCAGCTATAACTGGTACATGACCGGGCCTGAAGCCCCTGGGGGCCTTTGCATCTGGCCAAGGCTTCCAGCCTCCTACAGCTGGGGGCTAGCCTCAGCTGTAGCTTCATTGACGTGTCACTGTCAAGCCTGAGTTAGGCTCTGGGAAGTCTCTGCTGGTCCCAGTCTTGGCACCTGACTATAACGAATCTACATCAGAATGGCACATAGAAGCCAGAGTCAGAAATGAGTTCAGCTTTAGGATAGCAAGAAAGAAGAGCAAGCTAAACCCAGTTTCACCCTTCCGTTGTCTCCATTATAAATCTTTTTAGAAGAGAATCTTGTCCCCAGGAAGGCAAAGCAGTGCCATGAAAAGGGCCTTGTATCTGCTGTGAGACCACCTGGCTCAAGTCTAAGCTGTCGTATTAACTTCTCTGAGCCTCAGTTTCCTCATTTCTGTGTCTATGTCTTTTCTCTAGCAAATACTTAACATAGTGCTTACTACATTCCAGGAACTATTTTTAATGCATTAAAAATTATAGCTCATGAGTCCTGGTAACAGTGCTGTAATTTGGCTATGTTTTATATCCCCACTTTAAAAATGAGGAAACTGAGGCACAGAAAGGTTGACCAACATGTCCACGGACACAGAGGTAGTAAGTGTGAAGTCGAGAGTCAAACCCAGGCAACCTGGCTCCAGAGTCAGTGAAGAAGCAAATAATGGTCATCTCCAAGGTAGTATTCAAAATATATGACAACCGACCAGGTGCGGTGGCTTACACCTGTAATCCAGCACTTTGGGAGGCCGAGCTGTGTGGATCACCTGAGGTAAGGAGTTCGAGACCAGCCTGGCCAACATGGCAAAACCCTGCCTCTACTAAAAATACAAAAATTAGCTGGATATGGTGGTGCGTGCCTGTAGTTCCAGCTACTGAGGAGACTGAGGTGGGAGAGTTGCGTGAACCTGGGAGGCGGAGGTTGCAGTGAGCGTGATTGTGCCACTGCACTCCAGCTGGGTGACAGAGGGAGGCTCTGTCTCAAAAGAGAAAGAGAGAAAAAAATATGACAACCACTTCACCACTGGCACTAACCAGGCAGAACTGACATTGGTTATGGTGCAGAAACAGAATCCAGAAGACTCCTTCCTCTGCCAAGAGTGAATCTCTTGGTTTCCAAATCATGGAGAGATCTGGGGGTTTGGCCATTTAGGAGACGGGGCACATCAAGTGTCCATGGGAGAACTGTCTAAAATAGTTTACTCGCTGGTGTGGCTGTACTGGGTGTCCCAGGTGAGTATCTCCCTTGGGCCACTCTTGGTCATTCCTGTCATTCCTATTTCACTGGGATTGTGGGAGTTAAAGGAGCCAAGCTTTGTTATTTCACATAATGATGCTTTGTGTTATTCCAGTTTCTTTATTAATTTAAACCATATAATAGGATTGTGCAGAAGGTTAAATGAAAACAGCTGCAAAATGCCTGGTAGGGCGCCTGTCACATAGCAGGCTTTAAATGTAGCTTATCGTTTTCTCTGCTTTCCCCGGCCTATAACCAAGGGTGCGTACAGCTGGCCCAGTGCCCTTTCTTTCACAGAAGCTGGGCGAAACTAAGGCTGTCAGTTATCCGCTCAGGAGCTGTCAGTGTTTGAAAGAGAAAGAGACAGTGTTTGCTAGCTTGGCATTCCCCAGGCTGTCAGGAGCCAGGCTCAGAACAGCAGAGGCCAGCAGAAGAAAGGCCAGAGTCAGCAGTCTAACATACAAGGAAATCTTTACCGCCCTCGGGCCTGTAGAACCATTCCACCACCGTGGTGGCCTCCACCTCCTCTCTCTTCATGCAGGAGATGCAGCGCAGCTTCATGGGGTTGCCCTGCACGGCCTCCGTCTCCGAGGGCACTTCCACACACACAGGGAAGCAGACACTGACTGCAGAGAGGACAGGCAGGGAAGGAACAGCAGGTGGGGGAGGGGAGGGGCCACAGGAGAGAGGCGATGGAGAACAAGGAGAAGGGGAGGAGAGACAGAGAAGGAAGAGTCATGAGACGAACTTGATAAAAGCCACGGGCAAGTGTCTACGGCCTCACCTGGGCTCCCTAGTGTACAAGCTTGGAACATGTACACAGTTAGAGGGACGAGACCCAGATGATCCAGACATGGACTGAAATTCTTCCCCTGGGAGCAGTGGAGATGCGCCACAGTATATTATACTTGAGCTCTGCCCTCTAAGTCTTACAGCCCAAGTGGGAGACAGGACATGTGCCTACCTAGCGACCATCCATCCCCTTCATTCCACTACCATTCATTAAAATCCACTCTCTGCCAGGTCTGATGCTAGAATAGAGATGCAAAGATGACCAAAACACTAACCATGTCCTAAATGCATTTATAATCTAATAGGTAACACATATTCCTAACTATGATTAAACCAGACCACAGCAACTAACACACTCGTGATGTGTTCTGTTCCTAGAAGACGGACAGTTAGTTACTCCCAGTTGGCCTAGGGGGAAAGAAAGAGGAGGGTGGTGAAATGTGAGGCTACCTCTCTGTGTCCCTGCCAGTGTGAGGTATCAAATGTTTTAAAGCCATGAAGAGATGTAGTTATGTCGTGTTGCATGAAAACTGTAGGTAACTCTGACACATGGTGGAGACTGGAGCAGCAGTGAGGAAAATGGAGAGCGGACCACTGGGCTGGAGCAATGCTCTATGCAGAGAAGTATAGTGAGGCAGGGGAAAAACGAGGGGGTCAGACTGTGGGACACCTTGCATGCCACAAGGAAGTCTGGATTTAGGGTTTCTGCCCTCCAGAAACTTGAAGTCTATTTTTTAAAAAGAGGCAAGTATATCAGCTTGGTAATTCAGAATAATAACTTGAGTGGAGCACGGCTGCCAGCAAAACATGTGCAAATCTGGGCTGCATTAACAGATGTACAGTGTGAGGAGGAAGGAGGCGTAGCTCCTCGGTACTGTTTTTGGAACAAATCTGGACTATTATGATCAGTTCAGGATGTCACATTTTAAAAAAGGAAGTTGTTCAAAGAGTGCAAGCCCAGACAGAGGTAAGGGAGATGGTGAGGGGTCTGGAGAGAAAGCCTGGGGAGGAACAAACGTGAGGACTTGAGTTACTTACTTGGATGCAAAACATATCTGTCTTCAAATATTTGACGGCTGGCAGGTGGAAGAGAAATTTGATTCTGCCCAACCCCAAAAGTTATAAGAGAAAAATAAGTTTCATGCAATAAAAAAAGAATTTTCTGATTTTGGAGCTGTTCACAAATGCAAATAACGGTATGGTAAGAGAGTGTACACAGCATTGTTTGGCACTTTGGGAGGCTAAGGTGGGAGGATTGCTTGATGTTAGGGATCCAAGGTCAGCCTGGGCAACATAGTGAGACCCCTAACTCTACAAAAATAAAATAAAATAAAAACTGGCCAAACACGCTAGCATACAACTGCACCCAGCTACTCAGGAGGCCGAGGTGGGAGCATTGCTTGAGCCCAGGTGTTTGGGGCTGCAACGAGCTATGATCGCACCACTGCGCTCCCGACTGGCTGACAGAGTAAGACTCTATCTCTTAAAAAAAAAAAAAAAGTAAGATAGCCACCATGGATTCTGACATTAGGACTTTAAAGATCCCTTCTGATGCAACTTTTCTATGAATTAATAATAAAAACAGAACCCCCAGAAAAAAAGAAATGATACCACTGACATTTAGAAACTAGTCCACTGTTAATGGTCAGCCTACTCATCTACTGACAGAGTTCTTTCCTAAAAGCAGGGGAAAGCTTTATTTAGAGCTTAAAAGTGACATAAACTAATTTTGAGTCAAAAACCTAATACTGTGTTTAACTGACTTAGAAGGCAGTGTATTTCATTTCAAAATATAGAGTTTAAAAACCAGTGGCACTATAATTAAAGTTTTAAAAATCAAGGTAAAATACATTTCACCGGTATTTCAAGTCTCCAGCAAGCTTGGTGAGTCTTATCCGGCAGTCTTCAAGACGGCCTAGTGCTTCTGCAGATGGTGAGCCACTTTAATGCAGAGACGGCCCACATCTAGGGAGAACTGATCAGAAACATCTTCAGCATGTGATGAGTTTGAAGTATTGATTATAGATCTGATTAAACAAAAAGGAAATGTGGTTTGTGCAAAAGTTTGTGAGTGGGCAGAGGGGTAGAGGGTCTACAGCAGGAACTCTGTGTAGCATGGAGCCTTGAAGCACATTCATATTTAATGAGAGCTAGTAAACATAAATTCATTCATTTCATGTTGACAAACTCAGAAGTGGACTAGGAAGTCTCAAGGAATGCACAGTTACAATTATAGAGGCAGGGTGAAGGTAGAATTTGGCAACTGAAGAGCTGGGTTTGAGGTACTATGTAATCTCTCTGAGATTCAGCATATTCATCAACATAATGCTGAAAATTACATCTCTCTAGTAGATTTATCATGAGAATTCTATGGATTAATTTACTTGAACATTCTTTGTACAAATGTTATTATTCGTGTTATTCTATCCTTTGTTTATTTCACAAATATACTGAGTGCCTACTGAGTGCCAGGCGTTATTCTATGAAGAATACACAAAAGAACAAAATAGAAGAATCCCTGTTTTATGGAGCCTGCATTCCAGTGGCAGGAGAGGAAAAACAGTTAACATTAAATTGTAAAAAGTGCTGTGAGAAAAAATACAACAGAGTGCAGGAGAGAGCATGTGCACAAGGTCATTGGAGGATGGCCTTTCTGAGAAGGTATCGTTGAGCAGGCACTGAAGAAAAGAAATGAGGATAAAAGCTATACACATAACTGTGTGAAGGTCCGTCAAATAGGAAATTGCAACTCAAGGGCTCAAGGGGCCCAAAGGAGTGTGTTTGTTATGTTCAGCAGACAGCCAAGAGCTCACTGGTAATTACAGCAAACAGAGTGAGAACAGAAGTGGATGAAGTAGGAGGAGAGATGGGCAGGGTCAGATCACAGCAGGTCTTCTTGGCCATGTTAGAACCTTGGCATTTGCTTAGAGTAACGTGGGAGCGGCAGAAGGTTCTGAGAGGAACAATGATGGGATCTGATTTGTACAAGATCACATGATCGGATGCTGTGTTGGGAGTAAACAAGAGGCGAAAGGGACAAGGGCGGAATCAAAACAGCTAAGAGGCCTGGTACAGGGGTCAGACTGGAAGACGATTTTGTGAGTGAAGATGACAGGAGAGCTGGTGGAGTCTGAAAGAAAATGATTTGCTGGATTAACATCTTTGAATAGGTGAGAGGTGATGTGCTCTAGTGGTATGGCAGCAAGTGGGGTAGCCCCTCTCTTTTCTAGGTTGTCCCTGAGGTGACAATAACTCAAGTTATCATCATAGAGCAAGTGCCACTGCTTCCCTTCTGGTCAAAATCCAGCTCCAGGGCATAAGAACTCTGCTTATATGATTTGGAGAGCATGTTGAAAAACGACCACAAAGTCTCCCCACCTCTGTTTGCTTACCTTTTGCAGTATGACTTGCTGCACCTTGCTTCAACTCCATCCTTTAAGTCTTCAGCACACCACTGCCTTCCTTCCTTCCTTCCTCCCTCCCTCCCTCCCTCCCTCCTTCTCCTTCCTTCCTTCCTTCTCTCTCTCTTCCTCTCTCTCTTTCTTTCTTTCTCTTTC